CTTAAAGAATGAAAGATGTTTAATATTACTTAAAATAAATAGAAGAGAAGATTTAAAAATAAAAATAAAAAAATATTAACGACAATATTAGTTTAGAAGAAGGTAATCCATAATTCTTAATATGCTTAAATTTTATTTTTAAAAAAAAAGAATAATCCACTCTTAATCAAGAAAAGTCAAAGCTCTAATATCATAAATATACACTTGTCAATCTATCAAGGACAAGAACTCAATGAAAGCAAATAAAAAAGTGAGACTGTCTCAAAGAAATATGACAAAATAGAAATAGAGAAGTATGTATATTGGAAAAAAAAAAAAAAAAAAAAAAAAAAAAAAAAAAAAAAAAAACTATATTGGCTATTGTTATAAGACAAAGAAACTAAAAAATCTTGAAACTAGACTAAAAGCAAAAAAAAGAATTGACAAGAGTAAAGAAGGCTTTACTCTTGCCTCTATATATATTATCTACCTAAGATCTATGTGGCAACGTTCTATAGGACCTCTAAAAATGTTTTGACTTTGTATGATACATAGTTAGCTTGTTGGTACCATATTGTTAGTTTGTCCTGCAAGCTAATAATACATATGGCACGTGGTTAGCTTGTTGACCAAGTTTCTAACCTACCAATGAACTACAAATACATATAAAGTCAAAACAATATCAAAGAAGCTTCTAAGAAGCTTATCTAGAAGGTATTATGAAATTAATTTATTTTTATCTACTTCTATATATTCATATTATCTATGTAATAATTATAATATATCTATATATATATATATATATATATATATATATATCCATAATACTTTTTAGTCTTTAGTCTTATTTAAGACTTTTTAGTCTTCTTATCTTTGGCAATAGCCATTTTAGTTAAATACTATATCATCTTTGATTGATTGTCTAGTCCTTTTGAGTGACATAAGATTATATTAAAGATTTCTTTCTTTGACATTTATGACTTTGAAACATTACTTTATCTTCTAAAGAAAAGTTTTATAAAGAGTAGTAATCATATATTGACAAAGTCTAAGATACAACAAATTATATTTGCTACATACTCTAATCTTTATTCCTTTCTAAGATAGTTGATAAGTTTTCTTAGCCATTAATAATGTATCATACAAAGGCCAAAAGTCCACTATGTTATTTAATTATTGTTGAAGCCTTCATATCTTATTTTAAACAAAATATTTAAAACTCCAAAAAGAATGGTTATTACTTCTAATAATATCACCAAACTTCAAGAATCTCTTCCAAGGTTCTAATACCAAATACATTATATATTGATATCTATTCAAATAAGAACATATTCTTTGAAGTTTTCATTTTTATAATTTTATCTTAAAAATACTAATAATATCAATATCTTGTTTTGTCACTCAAGACATAATAGCTTTTGATTTGAATCTATTTGTTATTGATTTTCTATCTTTTTAGCATGACAAATAAAGATAGAAGATAGAATGTAATCTTCATTAAATATTCTTTATTTTATAGCAAAGATTTTTTTTCTTCATCTTGATTTTGATAGATGACATCAATGAAATACATCAATCTTATTGTTAATATTTATAAGTTTCTTTGATGGTTTTTATATATATTTATTAATATTATATTTTTATCAATGTTTAAGATATTTCTACTCATTTTAGAATTTTCTTAATCTAAGATTTCTTTCTCTTCAAATTCTAGATTGTTGTTTATTTTTATAAAAGAAAGTGGCATTTGTCTTTTTACTACTATATATATATATATATATATATATATATATTTATGGTTCAAGAAAAAAAAAAAAAAAAAAAAAATAGAAGATGGATCATGATAGACTTTGATAAGTATAATTAATATGCAATTAAATTGATTTTTTTACAAATAAAAAATTATCCAAATCTATAATAATCCAACTTGTCACAAAAGTAAATAATTTTAATATGACTACAGAGTAACTATATCTTGTCACTAATGTAGAATTAAAATTGTCTTTTGCAATAGAAATTTATATCAATATTTTGTTGTTCTTGACCTTCCTTTGATTGTACCTTCATTATTGCTTATGGTTCCAAAAAATAAATCTTTTGCCATTAGATTATCAACTTTTTTAAAGTCAAAAGTAAAAAGTTATAAATGATAATCATAATTAGCATAAAATAGTGATTATTGAGTAGAAGAAAGTATTGTATTATTATATGAAAATTTTTCTAATAGAAAAAGAATTATCAAAACATCTCAATAGTAATTAATTTTATATTTTAAAAATTCTTCTTATATTTGATTTATCTATTATGTTTATTCATCAATTTATTGATATAAAATCAAAGATAGTTTTATGTTCTTCTTCAATATCTTAAAAAGAATCTCCCAAAACCTTCACACAAATTAGATCCCTCTATCAAATATAACATCTCTTGGCAATCCTTGATAGCAATAAATATTATCAAAGAAAAATTTAATTATTTCTTTAAATGTGATAGATTTTGTGTATAGTACAAAATGTGTCATCTTAATATAATAATTTATTATTAAAAATATAGAAATATAAGGATTACAACTTAAAAGTTCAATAAAACAATTCACAGAAATAAATCACCATTGTTGTTTTGATATAGGTAGTGGTTGAAGAATTTTGTATTCTCAATGATAAGGAATTTTTTTATTTTTAACTTCAACAAATATCACATGATGGTACAAAATATTTAATTTCCTTCTACATTTGAGACCACCAAAAGTCTCTTAAGATTAATTATAAGGTCTTATTGTATCCAAAATATCATGCAATTAAAAAGTCATGACAATCTTGAAGAGTTGATAATCTTGCTTCATCTTTTAGAATATATAAGTGTTCCTCAAAATAGAGTACTTCTTGAATTTAAATTTTTAAGTATCATGAAAATTAGAAGAATTAGTTATAATATCACTTAAAAATTAAAAGTATCGATTATTTCCATGATATTAGACAAACCAATTTTAAACTAATCAATAACAATATATCACTTGATTTGGATTTTTTGGCACTACTTTTTTTTAAATAATTTTTAGGATGTAGATTTGAGCACTTATAAAAGTATTATTTAGAAAATAGAAAAAAATTTACTATTTGTATAGATGGCAATCTTCATCTACATATAGATATAAATTAGACATCTTTTTATTTATTTAACAACAAAAGAAGACCTTATATAATGCAATAGAAATTAGTGTAATTTTAATCACAATCAGACTTTTTTTTAATGCAAATTTAGGATAATCAAGCTTTAGTAATTTCTTAAATGATTTGAAATTGTATCTTATGTATCTTTTTCAATTAAATGTGGTAGATAATTTTTTATAATAGCTGAAGTAATTGAATCATATTTGGCTTTCTATTGGTTCTTTGTTGCTCTCCTGGAAGCCTTTCTTTGCTTCTATAAGACAAAAATAATGCCATTTGCATCAATAGTATTAAAATTTTGTATATTTTAGAATAAAATTATTATCATGTCGTACAAATGTTTTAGAAAATTTGATGTAGAATTGTAATTGTTTATTTTCAAAATAGATTCTTTTTTATTTATAAATAAGAATGATTTTTGTCTTGTTTTTAAATTAACTATGATAGAACAATCTTTGATGCAATAATCTATTCCTAAACATAAAATGGCAGCAAATTAATAAAGTGAGATAATCAATAAATACCAATTACTTCTTATTTGTCATTGTATTGATTACCTTGGATTTGAACCAACAATCAATGCTTGAATCCATCTCAATATACAACCAAGGCTTCAATGATTACTTATTTTCTTAGCTAAAGTCAAAAATATGATCTAGCCTAGCTACAAAATGTAATGCAACTAAGAGAAATTCTTTCAAGAGTTCTTTTGGAGTAATTTGTATTAATATCTTGAAAGAATCTAAATAAATATTTTCAATAGGATTTACAAATAGTACAAGGATTGAAGTTTGAAATGTAAAAAAACTAATATTTGATGTATACGAAAAATTAAAATAAGACTATATAAGTGACTCCTTCAATAGAAGATTTAGATAGGCATAAATTACAGCCAAGGTTTTTGTTAAGAAAGATAAAGCCTCCAACTATTAGTTCTAATCCTTCATTTCATACTTGAAATTAAAATTATAAGGTTTGCAATCAACAAAGCAAGTACTTACCATGTCTTGGTGTAATTTATACACAATTTTTTCTAACCATGTCCTAATCCATGGTAATTTTATATTGTGTCATTTAAAAAAGTAATTTGTCATAACTTTAAGAAAATCTTGAAGGAAAGAAGTCACCTAGATTATATCAAGTTGGATGTAAATATCTCATTTAATAGTGAAAGTTATAAGAAGCAATAACCTCCCACTCCTCACTAAGATTCAATAGCAAATTGACACTATTGATTGCTATCACAATATTATAGCTAGAGAGACCAATCCTTACACTTCCTTTGATACATTTTGTATAAGTTGTCTTTGCACTTTGTACCATTGCTACCAAATACATAATCCTAAAAAACTTTAAAAAAAATATTAAAAAAAAAAAAAAAAAAAAAAAAAAAAAAAATCTTTCTAAAGAAGGTTACCATCTCTTAAGCTTCTTTCAAATCACTATGTTATTGTGCAAAGTGGTGTAGGTACAATAGTAGAGAGCCACTATCTTTATTATATTCATTGGCTACCAATATCTAAGTTTCAAAAGCCACGTTGGACTCTATCTAGTTAAATTGACACTATTTTATTATTGATTAAAATATCCAAACATTTGAAAAATTGATGTAATTATGGAATTTAGTCCTTGAAGTAGCTAAAATATATAGGAGGAATTTACTTAAGTGACATGGATTTAAGATTTGGGTATTAAAGTTGTTGAAAAAGAAATATCAAAAACTCAATTATACTATATTGAAGTATATTTAAAAATAAAATAAAAATAAAAAAATAAAAAAATAAAAATAAAAAAACATTTGAAATTGACCTTAAAAATGCAATTCACTATGTTTTCCATATTTTGGGCAAGTTGATCAGCAACATAAGTATATTCACAATTGTTTAAGTGTTTATAAATCCACTATGTTAACCATTGGTCCACTGCAAGAGTCAATATATGCTGGTATTTGTACAGTAAATGCTACAAGATCGCTCTAATTGATGAGACATATACCTGGCTAAATAATCTTGGGCACAGTAGGAAAAACGAAAAGCTGTAACAAATGCAAACCCGAACCTTGTCTACGTATACGATGCGGAACCTGTAGAACACGTCAATCAGTGCACATCCGACTTACAGCCCCTGTCAGTATACACTCCTACAATAATATGACTACCGCCTACCTCTGACAAAACATTTGCAAGGACAGTCTACTAGCAATAAAATATCACCATAAAACTACAAGTCGGGTTCAGGACTCCCAAAATCTGGTAGCGTCTTCAGAGTATAGAGTGCGGTCCTGAATTTCGAGGTTGGCAATATGAAGATCAATCATGCTCGCTTGCACGCTTTTCTCAAGAACAAGTAATGCTGGAAATAGCCACCAACTCTCTTCTTCCCTGCGATGTCAACACAACCTGCTTAACTACACACCTAGTACTAATTTCTATCATCGATGGTTTACCAGGTTATAAACAACTCCCATAATCTATTCCACAAACCTGAATCATTTATCTCTTGCTTACTCAAAATTAAGTAGCACATACTGAATAACTTCCTTCGACGGAATTAGATCACAACTCGTCGAATGTGACTAGAGGGTTCAATAAATGAAAGGTTCAGAAAAATCTTACGAGTTGAAACCCTGAAGATTAGACGTAGCAGAGTCAAACTTCATAACATAGTGAATGTACCCATAAATAAACGCGGTGCTCTGCAGTACAGAAATACAGCATTATCAGTTCTCGTACTTAAAACCCGAGATCCTCATTCTGTAAAACATATTCTAGAACCCCAGAGTATGCACCCAACAAAAAGAAAAAGCTAGAGATTTCAGGTTTCATTAAGAAGTGAGGGAGGGATTCCTGAATCACGATAGAGTTGTCTCTTTAGGCATTTGAGGGCAAACAGGTTACAAGCAGCTATGCAGGAATATTAATGATTGGAAGACGCAATGAAACAGGGTAATGGGACTTGAACGTTGTGTTGTGCACAAAAAAACACACAAAAAAACATAAATGAAGAACTTACAAGGTTCACAAACGAAGTGATGTTCCACAGAGCATAAATTCGTGCGAGAGCCGCAGATCTTCGGGGACCATGGCTAAATAGAGCGTTCAGGCCAGCTGCACTTGGAATAACTGAAGCAAAAGGCAGAACCAACAGAATTGCCAGCATTGCCCCCAAAGATATAGAGTAGAACTGGAGCAGCATGAGGAGTGTCAAACTCAAATCAACCAACAGCAGCAGAGAGATCACGAGCCCCACAGATGCCTGTAGATAAACCAACCATAATCAGGACATGATAAGAGAAAGAAAAAGTAAATTGTTGTAGAAAAATTATATAACATCTCTAATCATTACCCTTAAAATCGGTTTCCAGAACAACAATGACTAACTTCTTAGTAGAATATTGATAGAGCAAGACAGACAATACAATACTCTGGCCACCTTTTGAAAGGATAATCACAGGGCTTCATCAGAACCAAAGTAGCAAGTACCTTAGCATAAAGAAAGGATACAATCAGCTATTAAAGCATTATTTTTTAGTGAGATTTTGATGGAGCGAGACGAATAATACAAGCATCATTGAAACAGGTTTTCAAAAAAGGTTAAAAAAAATTTACATGATGCCCAACAGGTCTTGCATTTCTGACAAGAAACGACAACGGGAAGAAAAAGTCACGTCTGTATTCCAAAGACTTGAGACTACTAAAATCTAAAACTGCACCGCCAATTCGTCGCCTTGAAATTCCCAATTGTGAGTAGCCTTGGCTAAATTGCCATTGTTGGGGTGCATTGAAACCATCGTCATGATCTGATGGCATATACCTGATACTGCATCACGATGCTACGGTCAGCAAAATTCTGACGCAATACAGCGTACATCAAGAATGGTCTTTCCTTATCATACAAAAGCCATGACGAATAGATTTTCGTTGCAGTAAATCCAAAAACTATCTTTTAGTTAGTGCAAAATTCGTAAACATTACTTACTCCTGCAAAGCCAGATGAGACAATCGTTACTGAAAGCGACGATTTCCTATCCTTCTTCCATTTATTACCGTAGTCATTCAATGTTAAATGTTATTACCAAATAGAAATAAGTCATTAATTAGCAATAATACCTCCTTGGGGAATCATTGGGGCTTGGGTCATCTGGAAACTGCATTGGCTGAGGAACTTCATCAGCAGGATTCATGACTAAGCCAAACTGATAGTAGCCTGTAGCTGTAGCTTGGTACCAGGCCAAGTCCACGCGAACACCCAAAGAAGCTATTCTTGAGTTGGCATGAGTGTTTAGCCAATTCAAGACAGGCAGCAAGCTGCTGCGAAGTGACCCCCTTCGCACTGTCCGCAGTTGCACATTTAAACCAGCCACCAATCTATACCACATTGTTGAAGGGACAGCCTGTAATCATAAATTAGGCCACATGTTACAGGCTACGGAACACATGATCAACCGCAACAGTAACACAGTAGAAACCTGTGCATCAAAGGGTAGAAACTTCTCTCATTCAAAACATCGTGGCAATTTACCTGGCCAATTAGGCTAGTTAGTAGATTATCGCTATGAAGGCTGTAGGGCGCCATATAGCTGCCTTCACCACCGAAAATTATAGTCAATGGCAATCTTTGCATCAACTTAGGAGGTAAATCAGGTCGTTTTTCGTCTCCTCCAAGGAAAACATCAATGTATGCCAACATCAAGTCAGGTGTTGCTGCCACCTGCATGAGACGAATTTCAGGATTGTAATTCACGATAAAATCCATCCAACACAAGCAACAATAAATGTTCATAACCCACAATGAAGAAAACAATGAAGCAATAAATTCTTGTAAGGCAGTCTATCAAATTGAATTATAAACGACATGTAATGGTGCTGAAACACATAAATACAAGAAGAGCTTGTTGTATATTCAAGATGCTTAGTAGCACAGACAGAGAATCCACGTAGTAGCCCCCACAATATTCTCACTGATAGTTGAAGGTGAAAATGAAATCGAAATTATCTCCAGAAAAACCAGCCAGCTGTACGTTTAAGCAATATTCAGATGATCAGGATAATTCACCTTAAGACCTTCATATAAAGCTCGTGATCGGCAGGATCTCAAGCATGCATGATCATATTCCGAGCGTACATATTCCCTCAGTCGCTGAATTTTCTTACGTGCACGCCATTGCTGCCATGACCATGCAACTGGATATGCTAAAACTGACAAAATGCTGTGCACTGAACCTTCCCACCATTGATAAGCTGCCAGAAAGTTGATTTCCTCAGCAAATCTATTAAAAGCATCTTCGTAACTGCGAATTAAGAACAAACATGTGAGACCACGAGAACCCCTCTTCAACAAGGAAATCAAGTACTAGAAACATGCTCAACCCTGCTCTCAGAGAACAATCAAGGCTTGAACATCATGACACACCAGAATGTTATAACTGAGGCATAGATACAATAGAGGGTTAGAGCTTACACAAGATCCATAATCTGCTCAGGGGGAGAATGAGGTAGATGCCATGGCTCGCCAAAGGTATTATTGCCCATAAAATACATCCGATGTATGTGGTTCTGAGACTCCTCTACTCGTGCGGTCTCCAGTACCTGTATCGAAGAACTTCAGGTTCTAAGCAGATTAAACAACTAAGTGAATCTAATTTGGAACAAAAGACTAACCAAGCAATCCATATGGTTTGAAAGGATGGTAAACCTCATTTAGAGATTCCAAAAATGGAAAGGAATGATCGATAAGAGCTCCATGTGGTGTTGGAGCAGGCCCGGAAAAGTCGTCATTGCCAACCAACTTCATTCGTGCAACGCTTAGCACCATAGCCAAGACAACCATGACAACCGAGAGCAAGAGTGTAAACCACCAAGGGCCACCTAGCGTATAAATCAAGTCCTCTACCATAGTGTAGCAATTTGGCATATGATACTTGTCCGAAATACACTGATAAGGGCAAGTTGCCTCAACGACACCCCCTGTGTAAAACATGGAGGTGATCTTGTTAACTCAACATGGCTCCTCCAATGCAATGAAAGTGGATTCTAATTTCAAAGAAAAATCTGAGATCACTCAAAACAAGTAATGAGAGATGAAAGTTACCACGAGTGTAAATATATTTAGCACGGCGTGGAAGATTCTCAGGTGGACATGACTTGCACAACTCAGACTTCCAGCCAATCTCATTCTTGTATGTTCCAACTGGACACTCCTGCCATGATAACACCCAATAATTAGATCAACAAAGCTGAAATGTATCGGCTGAATAAAGCCGATGTTTATAATTCCAACTGTCTAATGCATTGGCATCTGAAACTAATCCATCAAGTCAGTGAATTCCTACAAACAGATCCGAAATTTTTTCTTAAGGACTTAAGAACAAACACAGGCCAACAAGACCATACTAGATATTTGTTTAGAGTAATTACCTTACAGAAGATGCCGTAGAGGCCAGGTGGACAATCAACTCCACTGATAGTGCCATTCTCTCCATCTTCGGATGTTTCACCTCCGGCACGTCCCCCTCTGTTCACACACCAGTCTTGTGATGATCAACTTCGACATACACGAATCTTACGCATCCACACAAAAATATACTTCTGATTACCTCATATATTCTTTCCATCGAGGAGGATATTGGCTCTTCCATATTCAAAAAGAGCCTGCTACAAACGAATCCTAATATTCAGTAAGCGAAGCAATAAAAGTGTAACCGTTCATACGCGGATGTTTTGGTAACGAAGAAGCTTTATCTTTCTACTTATTATCTGAGAGGCGATATTAGAGTTTGAAAACTATAGATGCTGGTTCCTGAAAGCGATAAGAAAAAGGTGCAGCTTCAGTGAAACATTTTGAGCTGTGTTGATGGTTAATAACTTCGTGAATATCTATGAAGTTTTTATAAAATTTCACTAGCTAGTATCCAAATGTCCTATTGAGACTGATCGACATTAAGCGCTTTGGTAAACCATGAAAGCAATCATCCTTTTCTTTGGTTCTTTTGGCCACCATGCAACGGCCTGTAACTACCTGGTATGATAGAGACCCTTGACGTAAGCAAGGGGGACAAAATCTACTCCAGTGGGGATGTTGGACCAATGAAAGTGAAGTCGGCCACCACCACCTCCTCCACCACCCACTGGACCACCATGACCTCCTGCACTCGAAAGAATTGACCCGTTTCCCATGATCAATGTCTGAAGAAATAGAAGAAGACTACCACCAGAGCCTCCACCTGGATCACCCATGTCTGGACCTCCAACTTGACGTTGAGATTCATCGAAACTTCCACCATCCGTAGATAGAACTCCAAAGATTTCAATCTTCGATATAGGATGTTCATTCGAACCCATGACTGAAACAGACATGAAGCAATGATCAACTGAGTCAAATGAAGTCTTAGAACACGATTACGGTAATGGCAGACATGCGCACGTGATTGTCAATGATAAATCCACCAATCTCGACCCTTACGTTCACCAAGTTAAACACATGCGATGTACACATACCACTAACTTCAAAAACTCATGTGAAACTATCAGTGAGAATGCATGCTCCATTGGAATTGATCAAATTTGTTAGAAAGAAGGGAGATACATACATATCGTTTAAAAAACGCAGATAGCGAACATATCAGAGACGGCAGCTGGCAACAAGGAACAAACCTATAATACCGCCGCCAGTGGTATATTCCCCAAAGCTTGCATTGCCAATGCCGCTCCCACTGCCGAACTCACAGGGAAGGCTGTTATTACCATAAGGTGCACCGCCCAATGAATAGCTTCCTTTATAAAAACCCCTGCCACCTTTTCCACCATGTCCCCCACCACCTCCTGCAGCAGCAGAATTAAACATTCCTTTGCCGAGCCCTCCCTGGCACCCTGACAAAATTGTCCACAGCGTCAGTTTCCACAAAGTTTGCAAAGAAACTCACAAGCCAGAAAAAATTTGAAATGAGTTTTTGATGGGACAAACATACATTGAAACGTTCATTACATAATGCAGATGCTTTAAAAGTTAAGATAACAAATTCGGTTTCGAGACATTTGGTGTAGTTGCGTTCTCACGAATGTGCAGAAAATGGAAAAGCTAGGCACAAGAGAGAAGTTCGAGAGAAAATAACTATTCATTGTACGACATAGCAATAAAATGCCCAAAATAATTCTTAAAAAAAGCGCACCTAATGCTGATGTAGAAAAAATGCCTCTTATTGAGATTGTCTTGACTCGCTGCACGTGAATAGCACTACCGACTACAGTACCATTGATATCGACATCTTCCACGCGACAGAACTGAACAAATGAGATGTCTGCATTTAGTAACATGAAATTCTTTTTCCATTTCTGCAGTCACCAGTTCTAAAGTCTTCAAATTAGTTAGGGCAGGGTCTATACATATGCTAGCTAGCTGAGGCTTAACGCAATCACGATACGACATTACGTACTACAAGCATTAATACCTACATAAGTCATAGCTGTGAATTTTCAAATCGCTCTCTGCATGTCAGGACGAACATAGAAAGAAAGCTAAGATCATGACAGGGGACTCTACCTGCATTGTAAATGGGGATGAGACATTGAGTGTACAGTCCTCAGAAGGCGTGAGAACTTCTTCTGGGCAGACACTGTTTTCACAATATACTCTTGTGATCCTGAATTTACAGTTCCCAAATTATGGCCCATCAATGAGGAAATACAAATTATTTCACAGAAATATGAAACACTCGGTTATGGTACATTTTGAAACAAACAAGACTAGCAAACATGCTTTCTAGCTCGGTGGAATATTTCGACACATTTCGATTTCCGACCTTTTCCAGAACTCTAGATTAAAAAATAACTTACTCTTCTTTAATAGGAGAATCTGCATTAAGCGGCGCTTGCATCATTGCTCCTTCAGCAACCTAAGCAACCAAACATATTTCTTTAAAAAATATGCTTGTTCGGAAAAATATATCATGGAAGGAAATTTTCAGCAAAAAGACAAGCGAACAACGGAAGTTAGATGAGCAATCTGAATAGGAATGAGGAACATCTGAATAACATCTCTCGGATAAGACTGTCAACAATTTTAGACCGATTTCTGACTTACCTGCACTGTGTAGAACAGCGAAACAAAAAGTCGTTGTGCTCTTAACGAGTCACCAGGACCAGAAAGTGCCAGCAAACCCTGACCATGCATTCCTAGATTTACACTCGATTCGATCACTGATCCTTGCTGGCACACACACAACAACTTCAATTTAGCAAACCATAATCAAGAATTTTGTTTAACATTCCTATTAAGAACCAAGTAGTCCAGTTTAATACTTAATTCAAGTGACAGGAGTCACTGACAAAAATTGCATAAACCACTACCTGCAGTTTCTGACAATACCACACGATTATGTAAAAATATCTTCACATCCAATTACAGTTGATGACATGTCATGTTCAGGCCAAATCAGACAAGACACCTTATCCTCGTGGCACTAATTTCACTCTGTCGAGTTCTTAAAATTAGATACAGCAGTCATCAATTACACGCTTTCCACTAATCAATAAGATGCATGTTGTGGAGGGTACCCGCAAAATAACTAAGTTGCTCGTCTCGATAGTTGAGGTAGCCAACATAAAATCATCAGGATTGCCTTCAACTTTGATAGTTGAGTTCCACATTAGCAGCATCTTCACAGACAATTTAAGAGCCCCATACACCTTGATCGTAGAATCACTCATGTACACTCCCTCCGCCACTAACTCAAATACAGAGGTTGAAAACGAAGCCAGACCAAAGCTGAGAAGACCTCCCGACTGCAAGGTAATAGTATAGCGAACCTGCACCAAACGTCAAGCATGAAGCAAACTGCAAATACAACGTTTGCAGAAACCACTAACCTGAGGAATCGTCTGAATGAAATGCTAGGTGAACAAGAGCACGAATCTCACCAAACAGTAGGTCTCTCAGTCTCTCTGAAATTAGACCCAACAATATTGTATTTAACACGAGAAACCAACCAGCACTAAAGGTCCCAAAAAATTTCGTAATAAACATATACCTGCACTCTACTCCACAACAGAGGGACCAACACGCTCGCATTGTTTTCTACACACACTTCCGACCATAAAGGGTGGTTGGGAAACTCCAGCAGCAGCGTGTCAGTAGCGGTTGTTTTGTTGCTATTCGATACATGCAGAGATGACGAGAATAAATCAAATCGTGTGCCTGCTGCTCCATTGTTCTGAGGACAAGCGAAACTATCACCACCTGCCAGGCACGAGGGACAATACCGTCTCGTAAGATCCTAGTTTCTAAGCTTTTCATACCGCAATCATCCTCTTCAGTAAAAACTTTGATTTGCTAAAACGCAAGCTGTATGCACATGCGACAGACAGCACAGTTTAAACTCTCGATTCTTAACAGGAAAGCGGAGGCAAAACGCACAAATGTAAACCTTAATACTTGAAAATGCAAGGATCTAATACAAAATGGGTCCTTGTTGAAAAGTTATCAAGTGTTCTGACCATGATAGCGTACAGTGACACCATCAATTCTCATGGAGCTGATGGCAATCCGGCCTCCAGAAGCACCTCCTCGACCAGAGCCACCAATTGCGCTGATCTGTCCGTGCCCTTTTCTGCATCCAAGGTATACCAGGACTTCGGCTTTCAAAACTTCTACTGGAGTGGAGGTGATCAACAGCATAGCATGATGTGACATTGCAACCACCACAAATCAAAGCTTGTGAAATTACCGCAAGAAAAAAAAAAATTCATTACATATATATAGGTCTACTTATTTATATTCTAAAACCAAAAATAAATATTAATCATGTAAAAAATAACCCACATTCGAGACGCTCGAACGAAAATGCTGCCTCCAGATCCACCACCTCCCTCATACCCAACAGATCCCCCATCCGCTTCAATTGAGCCATCGATCACTAAAATCCCTGTGATTGTGACATTCACTCGGCCGCCGCCTTTACCACCAAGATCAGCATACTTGCGTGTAGTCCCCCCGCTGCTACCGAAGTCCCATGGCTTCATAAGAGTGGACCAACCATACATGTCCCCACCCCAACTATCTCTCTGCTCTTTACTAGAATCGTTCAGGCAGAGAGCTCCTCGACCTCCATGGCCGGCCCCCGCCCCATCAATCCCAGACGGCGTCCCACTAGTCCCCGACGGAGGCTTTCCTCCGAAAGCACTGGAGTTGAAACTTGCGCCATCGCCTAGATTTACGTTTGCAGCTTCTATCCATAAGGAGCTGCTTCGTATGGTGGAATTCGCACCCACGTTAGCATCCCCTCTCAGCAGAATGGTTACACTGCACCCGAGACTAACGCAAGAAATCGACACGTTGGGTTGAATCTCTAATGTTCCGTTTCCAACTAGAACAGTATTCTCTTGGGCAAAGGATATGGACTGATTCAGCACACATACTGTATCCAAAGAACCCAACCCAGATAAATCCTCTTCACATGAGAGAGACTGCTTCCTGTAATCGCTGAGCAGTTCGGGAGTGAGTCTCAAGCTGGGAATTTGACTGAAACCCTTCCAAGAGTGACCATCCTGCCTCAATTTGTACACAGCCACTGCTGTGTGTGCCAATGAGGTGCAGCTGGAATAGGAGACGATGAGCAAGAGTAGGAGCAGCACACCAACGAGGGCGAAGTTCAAACCAAGGGCCGCCATTCTGCACCCTCATAGTCAACTCAATACAGTTGATTCTCGGCCATCATGTTTTAAGAAGCCAATGACATCATGAGCTAAAGGAACCAACAATGGCTTCAAATTGTCAAGCATTTGCTTTCGCAACCGGAAGTATTCCAGGGCTTGATGATCTCCAGGAGTTCCTGGGTAGATGCTCAATGGCGGATGCACAATAGCATCCAAACGTAAGTGCGCAAAGCCTTTACAGTTCACAGAATCCAAGAAAATGTTGAACGGTGACTACAGTTGTTGATCCAAACCACACTCTGCCGCAAACGTGCCAGTGACAGATCCTATCAGGGTGATCTGGAAAAGCAATACAAGACGAGGCATTAAATGTGCGACATGAACCAGTTTCACGAAGTAGATACTGCCACCTGAAGGTAACATTTTGTGCAACGATTCGAAGCAACTTCACCCTAATGAGAAAATTTGTGATAGGTATTTTGAAAGCCATGACCCTTGCGAAGATTCCTGGTTTTGGGTGATAACTCTAGCGTATCTCTCTTTTGCAGGATTTATACTAAGATGCAACCATGGTCGGCAGGTCATTCAATCAACACTCCCTATTCCGTCGTAAGAATCTACAGAGCAGTGGAATATGAAAACCCGAACAGACGACACAAAGCGCGAGTACAAAGCTTCCCTCCTCTCCCAAACAATCGCGCTAGACAATGATGATTACTTGTAAAGAAAGGGGCCACTGCAGCTCTTCATGGACCAATCGTTGCGATTGGTTCCGACTAGCACCAACAAAAACCCCCCACATTGAGAGAACAGAAAGCCGGTATTTCTCTCCGTTCGATATCACACTCTAAATTTGAACGCTTCAACACGCTACATTGAGCTCTGGCAGACACCCGCAATCTACAAACGTCCATTTCCAATACCCTAATGTTTCAGAATCCCGCACCTGCCCCCAACAAAATTAAATCCAACAGAAGCCGTCCAGGATATAGATGCCCACCTCCCCGATAACTCCACCAGGCGCCAGATGAGCTACGCGAATTAGCAGGCGGCACAAACAAATCAACCTGCCCATCCTGCACTCTTCCACAACTCAATCTCACTTGAATCCATCCATATGCAATCACCCTTCAAAACGCGCCTGATGACCAGAAACAAATTCTCTGCCCTATCCACCGACTCCCATAAGATGCAATCCACCCCTATCCCATCGACTTCGCAGTCTAGCCCTTCTTCCCGCACTCCCAACCCATCGCCATCACCTTGGCAACCACTCAAACGTCTACATGATACCTCTCACAAACATGAAACCCCGATTAACTTCCCCAATCGAAAATCGCTTTCGAGGCCCAACGTATCCCAATTCTCGGTAAAAAAAAATCCGGGATCCTGGAGCCTAAAGGTTCATCGCTACATCGGAACAACCAAGAGCATTACATAACTGAACTAACAACCCCGATCATTATTTTTTTTATTTTTTTTTTCTCCCAACAAGCGGCATCAGGTCGCCAGAAAAAGCTAGGAAAGAAAAAGACTAAAGGGAAATCTAACACGTGCGATCTCGGCACGCCAAGGGCTCAAGCAATGCAGGAGATGCACCCACGCAGAGCCAATTCATTGTAATGCGTTTCAAGAAGTGACTTCGGGCGTCTCATCAACATCGAAAGGAAACAAAAATTGCGAAGCAGCGGAAGCGATGAGGAAAAGGGGCTGTTCCCAGCTGGGGTGGGCTAAACATAGCCGGCGCGGCACCACGGCTACTCAACAGCCTCTTACCCTCCTTTGTTCTTACCGTCTGGCACCTGCCATCTGTCTGCCGAGCTGATTCCTGCTTGCTTGTGTGCCCGTTTGTGTGTGTGTGTGCGACAGTGTAAGTGAGTGTGAGAGTGTCTGTAAGTGTATGTGTGTTATACAGCACACATCCCCCACCTCCCCTCCATCTACAATCCCCTCCCGCAATGTGAATGATCTATCTCGGCGCTGGGTACTGCGTTGTCCCCTGTGCGACACAGGGGGAGTACGATTCGTGCGCGCTGATTTATGAATTGGTGTCGCATTCATTTATGGGGGCAGTCGAATCGCTTTCGATTCTAAATCACTGTAGCTGAGTGCTTGCTGCATAGAGGAAGCAAACGAGCTAAGCAAGCAGCCCCAGCGGGAGTTGTGGGTCGTCTACGATTGCCCCGATTGCACCTCCTCTTCGCCCTTGCAGCGCAATCCACGCAGCTAGCCGCGACGGAATTGTGCCGCGCAGAACAGAAGAAGCACAACAACAGTCACACGCTTCCACAGCGCTGCGCTGTTGGCGAGGGCCCTTTCTATCTTTGTTTCATGCAAACCCCACCTCCTCCTCGCCGAATCCTGGAACACCGCCCCCCTCGCCGCCATTTTCCTCCGCAATTTGATTGCAAAAGCTGTGCATGGTCGTTGGCGACGCTCCATAAAAAATTCGGGCCGCTAAAGAAAGACTGCAGACATCGAAGGACAATGCAAGCATGTGTTGCCACACTTGTGTATATTTTTTTGCATTTGGGTAACCTCCAATCTAAGCTTAGAAGGGACGACACACTTGTTTGTTTGTTTTTGGTGAAGAGTGTAGCTGTGTAGCAATTAGAAATAACGGTCTATTTCATTTAACTGAAGTTGTAACTTAATATGTAGCTTGTCCTTTGTTTTTACAATGTTTGCTATGTTGCAAGTGCTCAACAATGAGATGAAAGCATTGTGGTCCATACACAAAACTTGGTACAAACGTTGAACTATGCACATGCAACCGTGAGTGGTTGTTTTGACATAGTTTGTTGTCTAACAAAATTGTTTGGAATCTAGAGAATATTATAAGTGGAATTTATTGAATATTATAATGTTGGGCAATATAATAATGTGAATGGTAAAGATACAACATAAAGTAGATTAATAGATAGCTTACAGAGGTATCCTTGTTACTATCATAATTGGTGTTATTTATAATAACTTCAAGCTTGTTAATTGTGTATTATTATTGCTATTTTTTTTTTAACAAATTATACATTTTGTATAGCTTACTTGCAAAAAACTTTGGAAGAATGTCTTTCTTTCATGGCAATATGTGCTTCTTAGGTTACAAGCTTTCTAATGTGAGCATTCTATTGCTATTTTTCTTTTTACAAGGTTTGTTTTGCATACATGTGTAACTTAGGCTTTTGGAATTATGAGCAAGCAGAAGACAATACTTTGTAAAAATCAAACGCAATAACAATGATTGGAAAAACAAGTTTCTATTTATTAAGTCAATGAGAATCACATAACCTCCAACCAAGCATTATTCTACCTCGTGATGCTATTGCCCAAGATTAACAAAGCACTATGCTAATTCTCTCAACTATTCTATTGTGTTTCTTTCAATCTTTTAATATTCTTCTACCTTATTGCACCTTTGTTAATTTTGGTTGCATCATCATCACTCTTTATTTTCTCGTTTATTATTTCGTTGATGTTGTGTCGTTAAGTTATTTTGGCATGTATCATCTACAAGTAGGTAAAGACTTCTTGAGTGGGCAATACATCCACATGTGGGTACAATCACCTTAGATTGGTAACAAGATGTCATATATATATATATATATAAATATATAGATGTATAGATTTGGTTTTTTACAAAAAAATAAAAATAAAATACAATATTTTTTATAATATTATTAAAAGTCCAAATATTAAAATTTCTTATCACATAAAATAGAGATATGCTATGAAAATAGTATGTAGTAGGCAATAATGTAAGTAATTGTTAGTGTTAGTTTAAAAGATTAAAAAAAAAGAAAAAAAGAAAAAAAAAAGACAAATATTAATTTGTAACCAATTCTCATTAGATTTATTAATATTGAATCTCTTATTTAGTTATTGTAATACATTCTAAACAAAAAGTTTGATGCATTTTTCTTATCTAAGAAAAAAATCTTTGCTAAAAATCTTAAAATTATGGTTTACTTATGCATGGAACAACTTTAAAATATAAAAGTACAATATTTACCAAGATGATGCAAGCTGTTTTTTGTGTTATTATTTAAAAATTTATCTAATTTTATAAACTTCATATATATATATATATATTCCATAATTTTAAATGAATTTCTGAATTTGTTTTAAAAACTAAAGTTTATATGACCCTCATAATCCATAAACATTATTTTGTATTAAGTTTCTTTATTATCTTTATATGTAATCTTAAAATTTTTGACATAATCTCTTTTTTTTTAATTTTTAATTTTGAAATGGAATCAAAATATTGTTTTGATCTTCATTATATATGTGTGTAACATATATACATACATATATAACTATATATAAACATATTAATACAATTGTTAAAATTGATATTTTAATATCATAAATATAATATTTGTTGTCATTTATTTCTTTAAAAGAACTTCTTTATTACAAATTAGTTGTATTCTAATAACAAGCTTGCATGTTGATATAATATTCCTCAAAAACTAATCATCTCTAATAATTAATCAAAATTTTGGAAACCAACTCTGTTTTATGGTGCATAATTAATAACCTTTCATTTGTAATATATAGTTAGTTTTTATTGATTTTATTAACTAACAAAGGTAACTATAAGAGACCATATGGCTATACATGATTAGATTAGGCAAGACCATTTGATTTGCAAGAATACATGACTGCATTTGATTAAATAAGATCACATGGCTCCCACAGTGGAAGCTATTAGCCTAGATCATGGAATCTTGGCTTATTAGAATAATTTGAATTGTTCCCTCAACATGCCATCTTTGATGATTAATAACCTCTATTAATGGAAATTAAGTTGTACACAGTTGTTTGAATATATTATAAATATTATAAATATACAAAAATATAATCTAATTACAAATCTATAGTATTATTAAAATGATTAGTATCTAAAATAAAAAATATGTACAAGACATAATTTACTTTTTAAAAAATATTTGTAATTTTTTTAAACTATTTTTACAAAAAATATAATAATTTACATCATTACTTGACACAAATAAAATTTTGTTGCAATAAACCAAATTCTACTTGTTAAAGCTTCTAAATCTTGTCTCAATACTTGAGGATAATTTGCATCATTCAAAATTGCAACATTTCCAAAGAGAGATTTTTTGTTTGTTTGTTTGTTTGTTTCCATTTATTTGAATGCATGATTTAAACAATCTTGTAATATCAGATTATTTGTATACATAGACATATATCAAAATACAAGGTTACTAGGAATACCTGGTTGCAAGAAGTTGAATAGTTGCTGAACAGATTCCTTGAGATTCTGTCACCTATGACGTGAGATTAGGGTTTCATTTCTTCATTGCTTTGCTGTTTTGCAACCCAGTTTTTGATGCTGGTTTCGTCGACATTGCCACTTAGTTTGCCGCCAAGAAAGACCGAAGCAGGAGACTCCACATAATTCCTCACTCGCTTAGAGGCCAATTCTGGTGGTCCTTCACATGTGGACGACGTGGGTACATCTCCCTTTCCCTACATCTTATTTTGGTTTGAAAACTGTGCTTCTGAGTTGCGTTTGCTGTAGAATATATTTCGGCATTGAGGACATCACACAGAGGTAGCATGCCTTATCCTTATGTGGTTTTTGTTTTGTGTTTTTATGTGTTTTTTTGTGTTTTTCGGTTAGTTGAGTGGGAGACAGGACGACGATGGAAGTGGAGGAGTGGGTGATGGGTCATGAAACAGCTCAAAACATGCTGCGGAGAATAGGGCCTCGCACCACAGGTTTGGCGCCGCTGGTGCCTGCCTTGCAGCGGATCGTCAACCTGCATGGGCGTCATGTTGTGGAGGTTGCCGGTGCTTCTGGCTCTGCGAAGTCAGAGTTTCTTCTTCAGGTTCGGACCCATCAGCCATGACATTGTGTCCTATATCTTCCATTCTCGCATTACGTTTTATTTTTTTATTTTTTTGTATCCTGAAGTGTACTGCATGCAGCACATTGTTCGTATCGTAACCTTGGTGGGTTAAGCATCGAATCCCTATTTTCTTGATTGTCTTGTATGTAGCTACATAATTCCGGTTTTCAAGTATCAGCATCTATGTGCTTGATACAGTCACACTTTGTAAAAAGAGGTGAAAATTCTGAAGAACTGCAACCGAATAGACTGAGGATGTGGGAAGTTGTAGCGTTAAAAGTAGATACCAGGATCTGGGATTCAGGGTTTTGGATACAAGTCAAAGGCTTTGGACGTTTCACATATTATATTATGAACTTTTCCTCCATGATTTACCTAGTGATTGTTTCAAGTGATTCGAGAAAATGAAATTAATTATGGACCTAGTGTTATATCTATGGTCGGACGTTAGCATCATCTTCCTATGGCACATTAGGGTTTTAAAAGGTTGCAATGTGGCTGCTGGGAATGGTTAAGGCAGCAGTGAAGTGCTTGCTACCAAAGCAGGGCTACGATGGATGGGATGGAGGCGTGCTGTGGTTTGATCTGGATGGCCATTTCGACGTTTTAAGGCTGGTGCGGCTGCTGCAAGCACACATACACCAGGGTATGGCCCCTAACCTCACCAGGGACTACTGATTATCTTTTACAATGGTTTAGGTTCTGGTGGTATTGATTCGGAGTAGGTCCGTTGGTGTCTGTTCTAGCCCTTCGATGTTCATTAGGTCTGTAATTGGCTTACAGCATATTCGCGTGGCATTTCTTGGTATAGAGGCACGTCGGAGATATGAGGAGGGGAATGAAGAGGAGGATGAAATGGAGGATGGCGAGCAGGTGCTAGAGACCTGCATGGAGCGTTTTTTCTATACTCGTTGCTACAGCAGTTTGGAGTTTATATCTGCTTTGAAGGTATACAATGCTGGACTATTTATGTGAGTGGACTGGGACTCTTGTGTCCGCACTTACTGAATTGTAAGTCAGCTTACCCCTGTTCTGCCAACGTCACATTCTAAAGGTTAGTGGTAACTTTATGAATGCAGAGTTCCCGCAACCATTTGCTGAGAGCTCAAACCTGTGGCAAGGGTTTCCGAATTCTCGTGATTGACAGGTTTTGGCTCCTCTCCTCATGTATTTTGACGTCCATGTAGCAATCGCAGTTGGTTCCGGGAATGATTCAAGTGTAGAGCATGATGCACAACTCTAGCCAAACTTAGTTTTGTTAGTTCCCTAGGATGCTGTCCTTCTTTATTAGGGCCCCTTTTTTTTTTCGATATATAAGTGATCAACTACACTTAAACGTGTGGTGATCAGAAATTTGAAGTATTCTGATAGGAGATGAACAGGAGGTGCGAACAGCATTGCAGCATTTTACTGGCTTGACCGTTCTGCACCATTCAAAGGAGGAGCTGGAAATCCAAGTTTAAGTCTTCAAGGAGCTATGCAAGCAGTAGTGAGAGAGTTAAAGGAACTACGTAAATTGTCCCAACCTACTGGATTGCTGGTAATGGCATCCAAGTGCAATATATATTCCTCCAACTTCTCCGACACAAATGATTGGTAAGCCTATTTCTTATCCTCAATGCATGTACGTTGTTTACATCATCATCTTCCTTATTATTATTATTATTATTATTATTTTCGCAGGTACTACGCGATCAATAATCTTATTGCTTAAACCGTTGATGTTCATTAGATGTATGACTTGAAAAGCTTTTCAACCATCCCTACCAGTCCACTCGCCTAAACCCTAAACCTGGGTTCGTCATTTAAGTACTCTTTTTGTAAGGGGTTATCATATAAGATGTTATGTATCACCAGTATGTGTGGGATTTAAAAAGCGGTACTTGCCTGGACCTCTCAATTAAGAACTCAACTAAAATGGAGGCGGCAAATGTCCTTTAGCTCTCAGGCTTTAAATCTATTTTTTGTGGGCAGGGCTAGTGGTCTTCGTAAAGACAACAGACAGGTGGATTCTGCTCATGAAAAAGACTCAAGGAGATCAGGCTTGCAGCAGCGCGAGTTCATGCCTGCTGTGTGGCAGGTCCCTGCTTCAATCAAATGCTATCTTAATATTGAATTGATAGAAATTGAATGACCAAACAGATTGATACTGGTCCCCTCTCAGTTTAAAGTCAGAAAATAGTTAACTTCGTCTGTTTGTAGGCTTTTACTTGCTCTTGTTTTGCGATGCCCCTCGCAGCCTGCCTTGAAAATGCATTTACTTTTGTGGGAGTCCTATTTCTAGCGTATGAGAGACGGAGATGTCCTAATTATGCTCTTGTTATCTTCAAAGGTCCAATTATGTTTTCTTTGTTGCCTACAGGAATTTATAACTCATCGTTTGCTGCTCCAGTCCAAAGTCGGTAAGTCATGTAGAATGTGCTTCTTGATAAAGGCTCTTTTTAGTTGTGCGGCAAGGTCATCAGTCAATTGTTGTCTGTCTCTTAGTTGATCCTTCTCTAGGTCATACTTAAGTCGCAGGAAATCTGTTAGTAGTATGTTGCGTATCTTGTATTGAAGAGTAATTTGTTATGCTTCAGCAGATTCCATGTATAAATCTTTCTGCGATTAGTATCAATGATCACGAATTTGGTGTGATTTCTGATAGCAGATGGGACTGAAACTCTTTTCTCAGCCGAATGGCTTAGACCTGCATTGTTAAACGTGGACGAGTTTACGATAAATGATGTAAGTCTCTTTTCAAGTTCAATTCCTGATGCTCGTTTGTTCTCCTTATGGCAAAATTCCTTTCAGCAATCTTTGATAGGGTCTTTATCGAGGCTCTTATCGAAAATCATAGAGGATGATTGGTGCTCGCAATACAAGTTCTTTAAATTTCATATTCATATTCCCAGCCTGTTTTAGGGATCAGCCGACACAGTCGGCAATATACTTATCCTCTATGATGGCTTACTTTTCTTTTGTTTTTAACGCAGACTGGGTTTATGCTGACCAACCGATGAAGGTCAGCAATCTGAAAATGGCTTACGTGGAGTAGAGTAAGTCCTGTAGAATTGTCTAGTTTCTATCGAGTTCTTACACCTGCTTATGTCAATACAACATTATAAATGGGTGTTGCAGCTCTGTTTCTATTTGGATATGCTCAATCTTTTGCATACTCATCTCTTGAATGTGTTTCTGAATTAGTCGTTTTATCAGTGTCGGCTAGTGAGGCGTTGGCAATAATAAGGGCCATTTTGACAAAATCTTTTGCATGATTCTTGCACTTTAAGTGCACACATATGAAAAAGCAGTAATTTCTTCGAATGGTGTGGTTTATTAGCTGTATAGAGCCATTACTCAATTCACATACAGCTTATGTACCTCAGTTCATGTGGGATTTTGCAAGGGAAGATAGTGCGAAAGTCCAGAGCTCCAATTTATGGCATAGACTTAGTGAACCGTGTTTCCACATTGAGAAGTGATGTGCGTGTGGATTCATACTGACTGGTGATGATAATCAACAGTTAGACCCACGTGGTCAAACTCCATGAAGGGATTTGTAAATTCTCAGTGGAACCATCAGTGGTTTCACTCGAGGAAGACAATAACTCCCTGGTTACAACAAGGCACTGAAGGAGGATGACTTTTTCCCCACATTTGCTAAACAGTACAGTTTGCTTTATAATTTGTTTCTTAGCCCACCCTCTCACCTACAGTAACTGTAGTTTACTGAAGGAGTTGTTGCGGTGCGCTCCATCTAAAGAATAAGACAAAGTGGACATGGTTTTCATGGACACGCGAGTGACGTTGCTGCAGTATTTCAGTGCAGATCATTCCTCAAAGTCTGAATGATGCAATCTACGAACTGTAGGTAACAGGGAGACGATTGACTTTTGTTTCCACTGTTGCATTACTGAACATATTTCACAATACGAATGATACGGAATTTTGCTTTAATACCTGCTTGGGGATGCTAAAAAATCAATATATAGAGCAGCACAAGAGGCTGACCTCATCACGTGAGCAAAACGGCATCACCAAAACCTTAGTTGCCCGGAGCAAGCTTTTGACTTTAATACAAATTTCAGTAGGAAAAGTCAATATCAAAAAATCTCAGCATAGCATTAGTGTTGAGTAATGGTGTTTATAAAACGAGGTTCTTTGTACATCTCTCGGTGAGTTCATTAAACTGGTTAAAGCGTGATCAGACTGTCACCGTCGAAGTCTGACAAATTGCTGTAAAGTATCAACATCCTTCCTTTTCTCCCACGCGTCTGAAGCACCCACTTTATGCCAATCTTTTATCTCACTTGAATTCAGTGCTTTTTTGAAGCGAAATGAAGATGGTGAATCACTTCACTCAAGGGACATTATTAGGACTTGTAGCGCTAACTTTCCGAAAAGAAAATGCGAATTCCTAATAAAACATTATACGCAGTTTTATCAAACAAAAAAGTTTACAACAGACATCACTCAATTTCTCATTAAATTTACTGATATGTTTATTTGACGTAGCAGCTTATGATCGTAAATTCAAGCCAATGAGGTCACAACCCAGATTAGAATAATAACATCACAATAAAAAAATATTGCAGTAAAATAAGAATTTTGATATGAGGAAGTTGGCTTGAACACTTTGATGAGACTATTGAATACATGCATGTATTTATTGTCCAATATGATTTTGAGAATCACTGACAGCACAGCATGATCACAAAATATTACTTTTCCAAAATGCTTGGAATTCTGTTACTAATGACTTATCATTGATATTATTTTGTTGCAACTGCTAATTGTAATCTTTGTATTTTTCTGTCATGCTGAGGTGTCACTCAAGCACAATGGAACATTGTTATTAATATTGATAACCGTATAGCATATGAGCAATGGAGTAAAAAATAGAATTAACAACACATACAAAATTTGTATCATTCTGGCAAAATGAAAGAAAAGGTGAGCCATTTTAAGATGTGTTAGTCAATCCTCAAATAAAAAATACAACAAAAGTCTCACATTGTATGAATTTCTAATAAACACCCAGAAAGCTCTTACAATGCTATTTTTTACATGTATCAGGAGGCTTTTCTTCAGTATTTTGCAATTACTTTTTCTGATTGTTTTTTCTTTTCCTTTTTCTTTACCAAATTATATTGGAGTTTCTTCACATGTATTTGCAGGTGCTAATTTGATGGCCATCTTGCTGGAACTTCAAATTCCATATATAAAGTCAAATAATTTGACATGAACTCAAATATCGGCTTAAACTTGATTCAACTTAAGCTAAGTCAATTTTGACAATTAATACACAGTAGAAAGTTCAAAAGCCGTAATATCTTAACCAAAAAATATTCAACAACTTTTATTTCATTGTACCAAACAATGCATATCACTGTGATGGACAAAGTTGTCTTGAAAAGATTGTAATTAAGAGTTTATATTTTAATCACCACAATATGTTTTTCTTTAATTTTTTTTTTTAATTACATCATTTTACCTTTCAGCCACTCATTTGAACAAACAAGGGCACTGTGTAGAATTCTTCATTTTTACTGATCAGAGATTCACAACTGATTATCTTCAGAGTTCTCATGAGAAGGCTTTTAGATAATGTTTAATTTTTTTGAAAAGAAAAGAAAGAGAAAAAGCATAAATTCAAGAATATGAAACAGTTAAAGTTAGGAAATTATTAACCCACAGTGTATAAGCGTGAAATTAGCACCTATATACAACAAAACAGGGTTGGAACATGCAATTTGAGCATTTCAAGTCATTAAATGTGTTATCAACATGTGTTTCAAGCAATGTTATCTACATCTAAAAGAGGCTGGTGACAATTTTCCTTATAGGCCCCATTCAAACCACACGAGAACTGTTGTATTTGTGGCCCATTAAACCCAACGACTCCACTTCATGCATGAACACCAAAGAATAATGCTACCGTTCCAGCCGCCAATTCCATTAAATTGGACCAAACATTCATTCTCCACATTTATGGAGCCCAAGCGATTCACGACTCCAACCGACCTCACAAACTCATGCTCATTAACAGTATTTCAAATCACGTTAAAAAAGAAAAAAGAAAAACACCACACTTCAGCAAGAGTCTAACCCACTAAATCCACTACGATTCAACTCATCATCCCCCAAGTGTGAGTTTTGTAATAAAACAACATTCTGCATGGAGAATGAGAGTTGTCCATCTGCTGTGGAAATGTAGCCAGAGGAGCTTGAAATGATTAAATCAGAACGACGCATGCAATCTAGATAGGGCGTGAGAGCGCGTCAAAATTGAGTGCAGCAGCTGTACAGTAAATGTGCCATCAGTCCATTGATAGATCTGCGGCACAGATAGCAAAAGGAATGGACTACAAAGCGACGACGCGGTGCACACCATGATGCTGCTGCAGCTGCAATGTAGATGATCGGTTCGTGTCTTTATCGATGCTTCTTTTTTCTGAAAAAAGGTTTCACTGGAGTCAGCCGCCAGGCCTTACGCCATCACCTCGCGCTGATAATAACCACCACCCGGGACCGATTCACATCGACACTCATATCCCTCCGTGTGTGGGTGTACCCCGATATTTCTTTCTTTTTGCTTCAAAATCCTTCACGGTTGTCTTCATGAAGCGGCCCGGTCTGTCGAGGTTTTCATATCTGTTGTATGCATGCAAGTCCCCCCCCCCTCCGAATAAGCTACAGCTTTTCAGTGAAGACAGGAGCTGGTCTTTTTAGCTGAACTGTGTTTTCAGGTGGGTTTGCAGTGTAATGCTGAACGGGTAAGCTAGTCTTTTGGGCTTCATGGCCCAGCCTGTGTCTGATTCTGCAGCGTGTTAACAAAGAATTTCCCAACTTGGGTTCAGCTTGAAATCGTATGTGAGCTGCTCGGGGTGTTAGAACTGGTGAAGATAAAGTGATGGTTAACTGTAATGGGGGTTGGGAGATGAGTGAGACGTTTGAGTAGGTGAGAGGTAGGTTGAGCCGTGAGAGGAGCAGTCGTTCATGTCGCTGATGTTCACAGTTTCCGAGCTGCCCCATTTCGGTCGAACTATATAGTGGTTCTTATCGTGAAAGCTAGTCGAATTTCGAGAAAACGAGGATTGGTGAAGAATCTTGCTCGCCCACCGCCGTTCTGATTCAGGAGTTGCTTGTGCTTTGCGTGCAGGACATGAAGCTCTGCTGTACGTAACGCTTTCGTCCTCAGTGCTAGTCACCCTAGAATCACACAAATCCGCTTCAGGCAAGGAAGTTTCCTACTGCGTGCACCTCGATTTTTGTCTTACTGGCTTCTGTGAAAATTTAGCCGTGGCCATGATGGTGAACTTGATTGCTTCGAAGTTTTGCAGCAGGTCACAGCGATGGCGTTCCGCGCTAGAAAGTTCTTCCTTCCGTTCCTCTTGCTGCACTTGTTGGTGTGGCCGGTTCGTCCAGTGCATCCGGCGCACACCATTAGTGGGCCTGTCAAGACAATCGTAGTTCTAGTGATGGAGAATCGGTCGTTCGATCATATGCTTGGGTACTTGAATCGGCGGAACCCTAACATTGACGGGCTGAGTGGAGCGGAGTTCAATGTCCTGAATGATGGCCAGACAGGGCGACGCACGCTGTACGTGTCCGACACGGCGGAGTTTGTGGATCCAGACCCTGGACATTCGTACCAAGCAATCGAGGAGCAAGTCTTTGGTCCCGAGAGGAAATTCGCTGACCCTCCGCCGATGTCTGGGTTTGCCACAAATGCTGAGTCAAAGCTCCCTGGAATGTCGAAGAATGTGATGCGAGCGTTTCGTCCAGAGGTGGTGCCCGTGACCACCGCCCTGGCCATGGAGTTTGCGGTTTTCGATCGGTGGTTTGCCTCGGTCCCGTCTTCGACGCAACCCAACCGGTTGTTCGTGCATTCTGCGACCTCCCACGGTCTGATTAGCAACAACGAGGACATTCTCTCAGCGGGACTTCCTCAGCGCACCATCATGGAAGACATAGCTGACGCGGGCCTCACTTTCGGTGTTTACTACCAAAACCTCCCGACGCTGCTCTTCTATAACAACATGCGCCTGGCGAAATTCTCGGCAAATTTCATCGACTATGAGCCTCACTTCAAGGCTGATGCCGCCGCGGGGAAGTTGCCAAACTATGTAGTGATTGAGCAGCGGTACTTCGACGTGGGGAACAGTCCTGCCAACGATGACCATCCTTCGCATGACGTCTCTCAAGGGCAAATGCTGCTCAAGGAAGTTTATGAGACGCTTCGAGCAAGTCCTCAGTGGGAAGAGATGCTGCTTGTGATTACTTATGACGAGCATGGCGGGTTTTACGACCATGTGCCGACGCCTGTGACGGGAGTTCCGAGCCCTGATGGAATCGAGGGCGTGGCAGGGATATACAACTTCACTTTCGATCGATTGGGAGTCCGAGTCCCGACGATTGCCATCTCGCCATGGATCCAGAAAGGCTTCGGTGAGTGTCAATCTTCTCCTCGTTTTCGTGATTACACAGTCGGGTAAAAGAAGTTGGTTGAGATTTTTTGCATCGGCTGGTTATTGTTGCAGTGGAGCACAAAGCAAAAGGACCCACGGCGCCCTTCTCTCAGTACGAGCACTCGTCGATTCCTGCAACTGTTAGAAAGCTGTTCAATTTACCTTCCTCCCACTTGACGGCACGAGAGGCGTGGGCTGGCACTTTCGAGCATTTAGTGACGCAGCAAACAATGCCAAGGAAGGATACTCCCGCAACGCTAGCAAGTCCACCATACTCGTTACGCCACACAGCAGTGAACGAAGCAGCTCCCCTCACAGAATTTCAATCCGAGCTTGTTCTCTTAGCTGCATCCCTAAACGGAGGTCAGATGATGAAAGCTGCCGGTGAGCGAATGACGGTGGCTGAAGCCAACTTCTTCGTCAAATCATCTGTTGCTCGGTTTTTGAATGCGGGGCGGGCTCATTTGAGAGCTGGTGGCGACCCAAATGCGGTGATAAACGTGCAAGGTCTTGAGTACGAGCTCATGCATGGTTGAGTGAGCATGATTTCGGTAATCAACCTGGAGTTTTTGGGAAGAGGTTTCTATGAACAATGCCGAACTTTGCAATGCATTGTTCATTGAAACCTTCGTAAGCACAATGGGACGCAACTTGTATGTGGTGTTGATAGCAACCATGGATTGTCTCCCTTTTGTCGTGTAGGATCTTGCCAATGAAAGACCTCAGCGGTGAGTGGAGACTCTTCTCTCAGAGTTTTGTAATCAATAATGAATACGAAGAATGTAGTTTATCTTAACGTAAAACTCTTGCAAGTCACTCTAAGAATGTATCTATCTGCAGGTGGCAATGTCGTGTAGCTGATGAATGATCGAAGCTTCGGATGTTTGCTGCAATGCATGCTACTTCGTTATTTTCTCATGAAGTGAGCTGCTTTTACTGCAACTTCCGATTCCACAATAGATTTGTTCTGTGATAATAATTTTATGCTGTGCTAACATGCTAAGCTTCACGTTTTCAGACACTCTGGATCCTGAAAACCTTTTCGGATGGAGGAGACATTAAGGACTCGATTCTTTCTTAGAGTTGGGTGTCCGCCAACAACTCACACTATGGTGTTGGTTTGGGCATGGGAGGTCTGTGCAAAAACAAGCTTATGAATTTTCATCACCTAATAAAAATAAAAATAAAAATTGTCTTGTAGAGAAGTGCCATAAATATTTGACGTCAATTGAATATTCTGATTATACTGCGCTGATACATTTGAGTATAGGCGAATGATGTATGGGAACGCATCAACCTCAGAGACACCACATTTATTGAACCAAAAAAGGAAATTTGAAATCTAAGGTCCAATTGAAGGAGAATATTTGAAATCAAGGAAATAGTTATGAAATGTTAGTTTTCTTACTAAACGAGACAAAGGCAGATTTGGAATGCTTAATTAACATTGTGTCTTTGGTAAGATTATTATCCCAGAACAACTATTTTTTTGTGTTCACTATATCTATGATACTGTGAACAGGTTCATGGATTTTTTTATATTCTGGTCAAATTCACTGGAAATAGGAATACTGATAAAATTAAATGGTTAAAGGAGCTTTTGAAAAAAAGTTACAAATTGCACGAAAAATGAATGTAATAGGTTTTTAGTGATGTCAATAAAAGATTATAACTAGCATGTGCATATGGTGTTGAAATATTAAGAAAGAACAAGGTTGAAGAGATTGGATTGTAACCACTTAATACAAGACTCTTTGCTTGTGTTAGTATAGATAATAAAATTCACTTTCATTCAAAGAAGTACAAGCAATCTAATATTGAAATAATTTATTGTACAAAGAAATTTATGATTTCTTACCCTAAATTAATTGTAAAACACGATTCAATATATATCCAATATTTTATAATTATAATTTTTGCTTTGGTGTAGAAGTACATGTGAACTACATACAACATTAAGAACTTTAATACATACTAAAAAAAACCTTCCTGTAAAAATCCAAATTGGTATATTGCATTGCTTCAAAATTATTTTAACAATATTTATGCATGAAAAAAATTATAATATCTATGAATTATATATATATATATATATATATATATATATATATCTATATATATATATATATATATATATATCATTGATAAATTAATTTATAAAAAATAAACGTGATAGTAATTATATTTTATTGAAGTTATTTAGTATACATTGAAGTGTGCATATTTTTTTATTTTAATTTAATCTTTGTTTTTTTAAAGAATCTTGATATTATTATTGGTTTATATAGCCTACTAAATTTTAGATTATAAACTACTAGATAACAAGTTTATTATAATTATAGCATTAGTATTTAGTGGTGTTAGAATTTAAACTAGCAATTTATTTAGTATCACCCTACTAGTGTAGTATACACATAATTGTCAATTATTTCTTGTAAAACTGACAATGCTCTATATAATGTGACAATTAGTACTTTATACTCTAACTCCTGTCACCTAACTTTTAAAAGCCATATATATATATATATATATTGGATAAACATTCAACTATATTAAATCACACATTACACCTTATAAGAATTCACAATTATGTACTCCTACTTCTAACTTATATATAAATCATTCTTAATGTACTTTTATCTTTTTACTTTTAATTGATTCTTTGGATTCTTTTTAAAAAAAAAATCATAAACTCTTTTTGGAAGTTTAAGGATCTATAGGTAGTAGGATTATTATGTATCTATCCAACCACTCTTTAAAATCTTTATTAATAAATGATTTAGATTTATTTATTTTTTATTTTTATTTTTACTTAAAAGTAATAAATACTCTACCTTTTTTTTTTTTTTTTTTTTTTTTTTTTTTGAATGCATATATGATATATTCATGCATATTGTACTTAATATAATTTTTGTAAGTTGTTATGATCTAATTATTTCTAAGTTTCTTACTATGATTTATCTTTCTTTACTTGGACTAGATCTTATTTCTCATTGCTATTCAATTAATGTAAATTGAGTTGATAATAAGAAAAGCAAGAGAATTCTAATAAATAAAAAAGTCATTTTTTTATACAACTTAAAATGCTTCACTCTATTGTCAATTCTATACTAGTCATTAAGTTATCAATGTGGCCAAATCAACTATACATAAAAAGACAATTAAGAGCTAAAGTGCAATTATACCAATCAATATAACAAATGTAAGATCTAAATTTGATAGTGCAAAGAAAAATTAAGTAAAATAAAACTAAAATTATCTAAAAAATAAATAATTTATTATAGATATCTCATTGCTACTAAAATAAATGAAGTGGTTATTAAGTCAATAATTTTTTGCACCTCTATTTGACCAAATCATCAAAGATCTTTAAGAAGAAAGACAAAGAGCTTCATGAAAATTATAAGAAATTCTAATCTACTATATATTTATAATTTTAAGCCTATTATTAGTATTGTATAAAACAGATGTCAAATAGTAGAATAGTATTTGAATTCGGCAATACACATCTTTAGAATAATAGTAGAAGTTGTACAAGTATGTAGACAATTATGTCCAAAACCTTGAGTTAAAGAAAAGAAGTATATGAAATCCATTCTAAAATAGAACAAAAGAGAACTTTTTGAGTGCAAATTTTATCAATTTATTTTAAATGAGATTAGATTCTAATATAAAAAAATTATATTTTCTCAAAGGTTTGTCAATATGCTTGTTTTATAAAACTATTTGTATGTTATTCATCTCTAGTAATATATTTAAGAGACACTTCTCTTTCAAAAATTCTTTCATAATTTATTTTATTTTTTTATTTTTTAACCTTTATCTACTTGTTATGAGAATGAAATGTAGGATTTCGGCCCAAAACATTATTGCTTTGATTGTTCTAATAAAGATGGAAGTCTTGAATTATCAAAATAGTCAACTTAGAAAAGGTTTGAATAGATTTTTTTTATTCTTAGACTCAAATAAAATCTTGAGAGTTGGTAGTGTGTGAAGATCTAATAACAATTAATGCATATAGGTAACTTTTTTAGCTATTTATAATAGCACATTTTATTTTATTTTAGTTTTATTATAAAAAAATAGAATATTATTTATTTAATTATATAATTAAACTTCATGCAAGGTAAAATATATAAACTCTAGTTAATGACAAGCTTTCCAATAATCAAAATAATTTATATTGGTATATTATCCAAAAATAAAATTTGAAATATCTTCAAAGAAGATATCATGATTAATTATTCTATTTATCCAATCCAAGTTTTATTAATATTACTTAAATAAATAGAAGTAATTAGAAGTAAATATAAATATATTAGAAAGATAATTCCATTGAATTTGTTCTACAAGTTTCTTACTTTTAGGAAATTGAATTCAAAACAACCTACAACTTGATGCTTAAGACATAAGCCTTGTGATTCATTAGAAGCTTCTATAAGATCATTTTTATAACTAATATATATCTATATATATATATATATATATATATATATATATATATAAGTCAAAGACTATCTTCAATCTTTTCAATATCTTTCTTCTGTTCTAGTCATGTTTTAAGAATTATAAGTCTTTTTATATTTAATAATAGTTATTTTAGTTCTTTTTTGTCTCATAAAATATATATATATATATATATATATATATATATATACTTATTTTCTCTTTTTTCAATAATATATAAGTATATTATTTTTTAGATTTTTTAAAAATTTACATCCTTGATAATATATCTCTAATTATTACTGAGCAACTTGGCAATGATGTTTGTCTCTAAATTTAGAGAAGAGTGCAACAAATAGTACCTCTTTAAAGATGTCATCTTTTCTACTTTATGTCTAATTTTTTTTAGTTTGTATGTGGGAGACTAGATTTAAATAGATATATTTGAACCTCATAGAGAATTTATTATCAAAAATAGAAATAAATATTCACTAGTTATAAAAAAAATCCATTCAAAAATAATGTGTATGAATTTGATTTCTTTAGTACAATCATTCATGTAATCAAGTAGTCCAAGTAAATCATTGATTTGTTTAATGTAGTTTTTAAAAGTGGTTTTTTCAATCATCAGAACATGTTTTAACTATTGATAAACCATAAGGTGATGTTACAATAGAGTTCCTCCAAATTGTAGCTCTAGCTGTCTCCAACACTATAGTGTTTTTTTTACCTAGCTTTTCATAGATTAAAAAAATATATTTTTAATAGCAGCTGTGTAAGAATAGAGATGACCTATACCTTTCTTAAGCATAAGAACTCATGTTGTTAGTAGAAGCAAGTTTGAGTCATCTATGTCTTTTGCCACAATATCAACATCAATAAATGTTACAATACATTTGTTGCCAAAGTGAAGCTTATTCTATATTTACCACTCTAATCTCAAGAACCATTAGGGGCTTTGAAATTATTGAGAGCATTAAATGTAGTTGGTGCTCTCCATAATATTTACTACAGACTATAGTTAATACTATAACTAGAGTATTTAGAATCTAGTAGAGAAGAATTGTTTATTCTTTCTCTTTTCTCTTCTTGTATACGAGACACAACCAGATCAATAGATTTTTATGTGTGAAGCTCTCTCTCCTTAGAAACCTTCTTGTGTATATGACTTATTACTACTCTTTGTGTGCGTGTATTACTTACTACTACTCTTGTGTCTTTCTAAACTTTCTCAATACATTATCAGCACAACTCTCTTCTACATACTATCACATTTTGTTTTTTTTGCTCTAGTCTTAACTCTTCAAACCTATTGCTACTCTTGCTCAGTGTCTACATCATGATCTTGCTGCTCTTCTTGCTGGTCCCTCATACATTAGCTGCTTGTTTAGATCACTTGTTCCATTCTCTGCCTTGCTTGCTAAGAATACTTGATCCAGGCCAACTCTACTCCAGCCTGCTCCTTGTTGCATCCTATGCCTACTGCCAAATAGCCGCCAAAGTGCCATTGACCCTACCACTACCACCCTGCCGCCATCCTACTGCTATTCTACTGCCTTAATCTACATTCTTGTTTAAGAAATAATAATAATAATAATAATAATAATAATAATATTTTTATTTTTCAAGTTCAAGTTTATCATTTTATTTGATTTTATACTTTAAGGTATATTTTACTCAACTTTTCTACTTGATCTTGTATTTTCTTTATAGATTTATTTATAATGAGTGCTTCAACATCTTCAACTGCTTCTACTATGATTCCAACTATTACAAGTGCATCTCAACATTTTCAAGCTCTTTTATTTCTACCATTGATTGTAGATGGAAATAATCATCTATTATGGACAAAAATGGCAAAAGCAAATTTATTTGTAGAACAACTTTTTGATGCTATTATGTTTGAAGAATCTCTTACAATAAGTATTTTTATTCTTCCTGATATTCATTGCAAAGCACTTCTTCTCCTTCGTTGTCATCTTGTATCTACATTACAATATTAATATTTGGAAATGGAAGATTTTATAGAACTTTGGAAGAATCTTAAATCTAGGTTTGATCATCAAAGAACCATTTTCCTTCCACGTTATAATTGGATACCTTTATATGTCTTGGATTTTCTAAATTTAAATGCTTTCAATAGTGAAATATATAATATTATCTCACAATTACGATTATGTAGACAAAGCATCTGTGAAGAAGAAATGATTGAAAAACTCTCTCTACATTTCCTCCTGTATCTGCTGTGCTTGCCCAACAAAAGAAGAACATGAAATTTCAGAGTCATTGTGATTTCATGTCCTATCTACTTCTTGCAGGGAAGCAAAATGAGCTATTCTTGTGCAATGTAGAAGCTCGTCCTATTGGAACTACAATTCCAAAATTTCATGCACTTAATATTTCAAAGTTTAAGAAAAAATTATATAAACATAGAAAACAATCTCATAAGTATCAGAGTAATCATAGTCATGACTATTTCTACATATATGGAAAGAATAAACGTTCTACTATTAATTATAGTAGAAAAAAAAAATCAGAGATGTATTTTTGCTATAAGTGTGGAATGATTGGACATTTAGTATATGCATGCTGTATTTCAAAATATTTTATTAAAATATTCCAAGAAAATAAGAAACTACGAGCTAAGGCTTGTGAAGTTCATACCATAGATGCATCAATGGATTCAATTGGTGTTGATGACTTAGAGGCTTATATGAATGACAAAACCTCTAATGATGAATTAAATGATGCGCTCATTGATTTTGCAACAACACATACTATCTTGCAAGATGGACGATTTTTTATTGAAAAATCTTCAACTTGGCAAATAAAAATATGATGACCATGGCTGGAGCAAATGCGTTTTGTTTCCAAGAGGGCACAACAATAGTAAAACTACCTGCGGGTTCCATCATAAAATATAAGCATGCGATGTTTGCACCCTTAGTACTTTGGAGTCTGATCAGCTATCGAGATGTGCATATTAATGGTTATCACTTCTCGACTGCCATTTTAAATAGAAGAGAGGTTTTGGTTCTTGTGAAGAACCATAAAGTTGTTGAAAAAGATTTTGCTATAGAAAATGGTTTATATTGAATTATGATTTTGCCTCCCATTAAATTTAATTTTGCATCATTTATCACAAAGAGTCGTGTTTCTCTATGGCATGGACGATTGGGACATCCAAGATTTACATTATTTAGAAAGATCATTCCATGTACAATTGGGCATAATTTATAGCATGTGGATGTAGACTATAGAATTATGTCGTGCATGCGTATAATGTAAAATGATTACTCGGCCTTCAATTTGGAAACTCCCTTAAGAATTACCACCAATAATTGAAAGATTGCATCGTCATATTTGTGGTCCTATTAATCCAATATTGGGACCATTTTGTTATTTTTTGGTCCTTGTTGATGCATCAGGTAAACAATCACATGTTTCCTTATTATCAACTCAAAATATGGTATTTGCCAATCTTATATCTATGCTTATTTGTTTTTCAGGACATTTCCCTGATTATCCTATAAAAACATTGCATATGGATAATGCAAAAGAATTTGCATCAAAGTCTTTTGAAGACTATTATACTGCAACATGAATTGAGTTGACATATTGTGTTCCATATGAACATACTCAAAATAGACTTGCAGAGTCATTTATAAAGCGTATACAATTCATTACCTGACCACTCCTCCTTCACGCAAATTTACCTACATCTACGTGGAATCATGCAGTTTTACATACTGCAACATTAATATGCCTCCGCCTTTCTTCTCTTGAAATTGTTTCACCACATGAACTCATTTTGGGTCGGGTTCCAAATGTATCTTACTTACGAGTATTTGATTGCTATGCTTGGATTCCAATACGAGAACCTCAATGATGTACTATTAGAGTTGATCGACAAGAAGGCATATATATTGGTTTTGATTCACCAAGCATTATTTGTATTGTTGATCCATCAAATGGCACATTATTACGTGTACATTTGCAAAATTGCCGTTTTGAAGAAAATATATTTTCATCTCTTCAAGGAGGAGTATCTAATCTACAAAGAAATAAAATACTCGTATTTGAAGCCTCAAAAATGTTTACAATGAATCCCAATTGTAGGACATCTTTGGCAAAAATTGAAGTTGCTAAGATTTTGTATCTAAAACGGATTGCAGATGAAACACCTGATAGCTTTAATGATGCACCTAGAATTACAAGAATTCCTATTAATGAGGCTCAGAATGCACATACTGAGATTGCAATGCCATTGATTATAATACGTCAAGTTATAACAACAACAATTAAAAGAACTCGTGGACTAGATAAGCAACCATGTAAGAAGAAAACTATAATATTGCCTAATCCTAGTATTATTTCTCAAGAAATTGCAACTCATCTTGCTGGACTACCAATTCATGATGATATATCCATACATAATATACCTTCAATTCCTGTGAAAAACAATCTTGAAATTGGAAGGAATAAGAATAAGTTGAGTAAAGAATTATCTATTTTGTATTGTGTTATAGATGATATTTGGAATGGACCATCTATTACGGTAGATTAATCATTTGCATGTATGATTATAGAAGCCTTTTCTTGCAAGAAAGACGATCTTAAACCTCAAACCATCAAGGAGGTGATGGGTCGCTCTGATTGCTCAAAATAAAAAAACTGCTATTGAGGAGGAGTATGCCTCTTTGCGTAAGAAGAAAGTCTTTGGTCCAATTGTAGACACTCCTACATCTCGCCATGTAGGTTATAAGATAGTGTTAATACGCAAGTAAGATGCTCAAGGTCAAATAACCTCCTATAAAGCTCGTCTTATTGCTCAAGGATTTACTCAACGATTTGGCATTGATTATGAATCCACATATTTTCTAATCATGGATTCAATTACATTTCAATATATTATTGGAATGATAGTTCATGCCACCCTTGAGATGCATCTGATGGATGTAGTAACTGCATATCTATATGGTTTTCTTAATGCAAATATTTATATGAAAGTTCCACCTGACTTAGAAATAGGAACTCCAAATGGTCCTGCTCCAGGACAATATTATGGTATTAAATTATGTAAGGCCTTATATGGTTTAAAACAATCTGGACGCATATGGTATCAATGTCTTCAAGCTTATTTAATTACAAATAAATTTGTAAGTGATCAACTAATCCTTTGTTTGTTTATCAAACAAGACAAAATTGGTTTTATAATCATTGTTGTATATATTAATGATCTTAACCTAGTGGATACTACATCTGCATGTGTTACAGCTACTAACCTACTTATACATGAATTTGAGATGAAAATGCTAAGAAAAACAACTTTTTGCATTGGTCTTCAGATTATGCATCTAACAGATAGTAGCATTTTTCTCTACCAACTAGCATATATTAGATGAATCTTGCGAAGATTTAATATGATTAATGCTTATCCATTGTCTACACCAATGGTTGGACGTGGTCGTGATGGTCATGATCCATATCGTCCATGTGAGGAAGAAGAGGAAATATTGGAAGATCAATATCCATACCTCGCAACGGTTGGAGCACTTTTATATTTAGCTACATCTACAAGCCAAGATATTATATTTGCAGTTAGTGTTCTTGCAAGACATAGTGCACGTCCAACACTACGACATTGGAATGACATCAAATATTTATTACGTTATTTAAAAGGTACTGAAGACTTGGAATTATACTACACACAATCTGTAGATCCAAAATTGGTTGGATATTGTGATGCAAGATCAAATCTAGTATTGCAACAGCTAAATCTCAAACATGATATGTATTTTTAAGACATTGAGCTACAATATCATGGAAATCAGTGAAACAAACAATAATTGCAACTTCATCCAACCATGCAAAAATTATTGCCTTACATGAAGCATCTCGAGAATGTATTTGGTTGCGATCAATTGATAAATTCATTCAAACAACCTATTGATTTTCATATGATGATTCTCCAACTATCTTGCATGAAGATAATAGTGCTTGTATTGCATAGATGCAAGTTGGTTTCATTAAAAGCGACAGGACAAAGCATATTGATCCAAAGTATTTTAGTTATACCCATGACTTGATTACTAATCAAACACTTATAATTAAAAAAATTGAATTTGCAAATAACCTTGATGATCTCTTCACCAAAGCTCTTCCATTGTGCAATCATCGTCGATTTACTTATTGCATTGGTATCCGGCGACTTACTTTTCTTGAATAAGAAAGTTAATGAGCTCTTTAAATAATTAAAGAAAATGATGTTGTACTCTTTTTCCTTCATCTATGGTTTTGTCGTTAAATACAATAAGGTTTTCCTAGATAAGGTTTTAATAAGGCATCAATTGTTGATCTTGCAAGATCACAGAAAAATATAGATCATAATTCTATGCAAATTTTATATTATGTAAATATTATGATGAGAGAGGAGGAGTGTTGAGAGCATTAAATGTAGGCGGGGCTCTCCATAATATTTATTGTAAACTACAATAAATACCATAGCTACAGTATTTAGAGTCCAGTGGAGAAGAACTGTTTATCCTCTCTCCTTTCTCTTCTAAGAAACCCTCTTGTGTGTATTACATACTACTACTCTTGTGTCTTTCTAAACATTCTCAACAAAAATCAAAAATCATGTAAATTCCTTATCATTGACTGGAACGGACGGAGAGACAGCATCAGAGCGGCAATTCGCAGTACTAGAAACTACGGATAAGTTCCCCGTAAATGTTGTTGTAAAGGAAGATGCAAGTCTAGCTCTACTCGTTCTGGAGGGTCTTGCAACGGTAACGGATCTTGCTGGTCAAGTTACTTCATTTCCGCGCTTGCAATGCCCCATGTTGTTGAATCAAGACAGAGGGGATTTTTCCGGGTGAGTGTGATTTGTGGGTATGTGTGGAGATAGCTGAGCGATTGAGTTGGAGAGATGGCGATGGAAGGGGAATCATCGAAAGCTCGTGGATCGAGGCCTTGCAGAGAATGGGAGCAGGATCCCTTGTGCTTCGCCCACGTTCGCCTGCTTGCGTTTGATCTTCTCGCCCTCCGCCCAGTTCCTCACATGCCAGGTTCTTTACATAAATCTTTTGTTTGTTTTTTCCTTCCATATCGCAATCTATATGCGGAAACCTGAGCTGCATCTTCTGTTGAGTGATTCACACTGTGTGGCTTGGACGCTCTCGTAAGTGCGTTTTAAAAAAGTGTATTCTTCAGTAGTTGCGTTAGTGCTTGGAAGTGGGGCGGGTTTTAGTCATCCAGAGCAGACGGTCGATTGTGATTCAATGACCTAAATAATTTGGAATGTATAATAAAGAGTAACATATTATCGACGACCTTAAAACAGCTGCATTTGATTTTGAACGAAATCTTCCCTTTGCTAGCCCGTGCTGAAATTGTACTTCATGCCTTCATGGACGTTTACAAAACCCTACATTTGAAATATCTGTCGCTATGTGAAACTTCAGATTTGGCAATACTTTGCTTTTCATGTAATTGTGTCGTCTCTTGGCGTCGGCTGGTTGCTTCGGCATCTGCACAGGTTATTTCTTACGACGAGGTCGCTCTGTGAGACAAGTGGAGGTCATGGGCATAGTGGTGACTGTGGACCGAAAAGAGCGGTATTTGCGCTTCACATGTAATAACGGCACTCTTACTAAGATGATTTCTAATCTCAAATATATCTCTTGTACATCTTTCTTCATCCCAGATGTTGCTCCTTCACCAGTTCATGGTGACTATCTGTGTCATGTGGTAGTGGACGATGGAACAGGGTGTGTACCCTGCATTTTTTGGACGAATTACGCATCTTTTCCAGCAACAAGCCCTGCGAAAGGTTTAGAGCTTCGGTCGCGGCAGGAAATGGCAATTGCAACGACCGCAAAGGTGGGTTGGATAATGATCTTGGTTAGTTTTGATTAGGTTGTGACGAAGTGGAACAAGAGCAATCTTCTACTAACAAGACTCACGTCCTGCCTTGAGCATACTATCGTAACACTTGATCGATGATGGCTTAGCAGGTGAAACTTGGTGATTTGTTGCGAGTTCAAGGCCGTCTGAATACGTACACCAATCAGATTCAGGTCACAGTGGCGTCCCTCCGTAAGATCTCAAGTTCCTCCTTGAAAATTCGCATGAACTTCGCATTTTAGAATTCGTCCAGTGTCGAAAATGTTTTGATGGAAATACACTGTCAGTGTATTAATGAAGTGGTGGGGTTCCTATGTTAGGGACGGAAAAAGATCCAAATGCTGAGGTGCTGCATTGGGTGGAATGCATGCGGCTGGCTAAATGCTGCTACGACTTGGATCCCAGTTTACAGAAGAGACCTCTTGTTCCCTGATCGAAAGAAGTGAACCATGTACACAGCTCAAGTGTTATTCCGCATTAATCACGTACACTTATTCCCGAGCGGTAGTAATTGCGGAGACTTGCCACTGTACTTCAAAGAAGCTTTCAAAGAACACTCGGTATGGTACGCTGTTTTAAATAACTTTGTACATTTGTTATGTTTTTAACTTGAAAGAGGCTTAGGTCCTACGCAAACATCTTTGAACTTGAGCTTTCTTGCGAAACAACTATCTGTAGGTCTGCAAATTTCTTAACAGTGTTTCGCAGGCAGCCTTGATAAACTCTTACAAATTACGTGTTGCGGATGTGATAACACAGGAAACAGAATGCAATATAACCTGCTTAACCCCCAACTAGTAACTTCAGAGGACGTGGATTTGAATCGGAACGGTGCTGTGAAATCTGAAGAGAAACGGGAAGATGGATTGTCAGCTTACTTAAAAGAAACAGTCGAGTGGTAGCAATACTTTCATTAGACCCCCTATCGCAAATCGTGGTGAAAACTCTGTTCAAACGACATTCTCAGCTTCAGTAGTACATACGAATTGAGGCTGAAACCAATCTGATGTACCATATCCAATTAGAAATATACGAAAATCTCTTGTCAATGCATACTACCACAAAACAAAGCATTTAAATAATCTATAATGGAAAAAGATTTAAATTTTTAACCTTCCACACTTTTTTCTTGAAATCAAAATTAAAAACAGTTTTTTCTTCACCATTGCATCCTTAATAGCCAAATTTGATAACATCTATAAAAAAACATCTATCTATAAAAAAAGAAAATCCAAGTGATAAAATTTCCACAAAATGATAATATTTCTGTAATTGACTCCATAACTGTTACACATGCTTGGCTTCATCTTGTTGAACTTTGTGAGGGTAAGGCCACAAACACAAAACATATTCCATATTGATTTCATTTTCTTATTCGACGCCAAAGAAGATAGAGTGATTGGTGATTGTTTGCATGATCCTGCATTGTCCATTTAAGATTTTCATTAATTCCATTACCTACTTCTCACACTCTCTAATGTTGAAAAAGGGGAAGTATTTTGGAAGCGTTGAGAGTCACTGAGGCTTGCACCCATTGCATCAGGTTTCTGAAGTTTACAAGCCATAGAACCTTGATGTAATAACAATTGCCACTAACTAGCATACCACTTCGACAACTAAAGAGAGATTTTTCTTCTTTAGTATCAGATTAGAGTCAGATTAGGGCGGAAAAATATGTTTCTAATTGAATTCTAAGGAGCTAAAAAAAAAAAACACCGTTGATTTAACGAAATCGCTCGCTTTCGTTTTTCTTGACCTCAAGCGATGGCCTCCTCTGATCACAATCCAGACGTTCCAGCAAACGATTCGAATAGATTGGCTTTCCATGTTTATTTATGTCAAAAATGTAGAACACGACATTGTAATATCCTATAGCTAATATGGCTACAAAAATCCTTTCAGGTACTTAATGAGATTACTGCACACCTCCTTTTCAGCCGTTCCATGGCCTATAAAATCCTAATTGGCCACTGTTGACTGCTCCTTGTCAATACAGCGAGTTATCAACTTGATGCACGTCGACTTCCAAAACTTAAATGTTACTGTCGATGGTTGCAATTTGGTGGTTTCTATGAAATCTCAAAACGCCACCAAGAATGAGTGCTCTGAAGCGTTGTAGACCTAAGAAACACAACAAAAAACAAAACATTCCTTTGTAAGAACTATTCGCACCTGCACACAATCAACACATGGCACTACTTTAATCTCCAATTAATAAGTACATCCAATTCCATGCCCACAAGACTAAGAGATCTTTTTCTCTCTTTTAGGCATCTGAGCCCCAGATTAAAACAGAGAGGAAACGAGTAGAAATAGAACTTAAGCCTAAAGACCTTGAGGAATCAATGAACAGACTAAGAGTATAACGGATGAAAACTACTCACGAAGAGTCTTGAACCAGTGTCGTATAACTCCGAATATAATAGATTCGAAAGACGTGCAAAATAATATTGATTATAATCACGATGTGAAAATAAGCAAATAAAAATAATTGATAGAATGAGTATGGATCGAGGTGCAAAAATTCGAAAGAGATGAGAGATTCGCACCTTGAACGACTCTAGAATAGAGAGACAAGCCCCATTTAAAACAATGCTTTGTACATGGCGTATCTTCATTGCAGCAATTGCAGCATCTTCTTCGCTACAAAAATATAATAACCTGAATGGTCGTCGCTAATTGTATTAGTAACCCCCAGTTATGATCAGTACATTCTCAGGTTCAAATGTACGTGGAGATGGATGCACTGAAACTTTGATGTTTCACTTCAATAGCGTGAAGCAGCGTTCCTTCGAGATCCAATTTTAGTTCTTTACGAACTACAGGAAAAGTTGCTAAATCCTGAACCCTAAGTCCCTTCAGCTGGCTCCGCGTGGTTGATTTCGTTACACTCAGCTTTCGAATTGTCGATACAAATCCGCAAGTCGTCAATCACAGATGAAGAGCCGGCTGATTCACTACGCAACGTCTGAACACGATCCATCATAAATTCTTCTAAAATAATTCCTGTATTCAGAGAGCAGAAAGTTTTAAAATGGAGATAAAAAATAAAAATAAAATATGGTCGAAGGGGAAACGAAATGACGAAAACGCATAATCATGCATAGTTAGGTTCAACACTGATGTAAGAACTAGACCACAACCAAGCGACTGTAAAACTGACTTAAACCAAGGAAGTCTGGACAAATTCCAAGCTCCTCGGCTTTGAGTTGCGTAAAAGATCAATTGCAGTCAGGGATAAGTACACTAAAATAGGCATAACTGATTAGAAAGTGATAAACCCTACCAATAGTACGCAGTCCAGCCGGGGTTAACAATCCATTAAGCGATTTCTCTCGCGTGCTCCGCACGCGCTCCATAGCCAGCTGCTTCACACTCACCAGCAAATCCTGCGTAGCCACCAAATTATGCTCAATTAGGTTACAAACCATCCCACCCGTTTCAGCAGCAAAACAAAGGCTCCGAAGAACCTCCTTCACCAACAAAAAAAACTAGATAGATTACAACAAATTACGTACCAACTGAGAATCCGAGAGAGATTTTGCCCATTCAATGTCAACATCGCTGGCGTCCCCCCACTCAACCTTTCTACGCTTCATTCTTCTCCGCTTCTTCACGGCTGCAATTTCCGTATCCAAGGACGTCGGTTGGGTACCCGTGTTCGGCAATTCCGGCGACGCCATACTCTCTAGATCCAAGTATCCAATCACAGAAACATACAACCTAGACCCAACAGCTGTCCACAGAAAGACTCCCCTAAATACTACGAAAAACTGACAATTAAGACAAAACATGCAAAACTACTTCAGCAGTGTAGAACACGAGTGTACAAAGTGAAACCCTAGAGCTACAGTGCACTGGATTATTTTTTACCCGACCTAGACATTGCCTGTTTTTTTATTCCATGCTTCAATCTTCGCTTCTTGCACCAGCGTGATCCCTGCGTTCCTCTAGTCTGCCACCATGGGTCGCATGCACAGCTCCGGGTAAGTTACCCTTCTGTTAAGCATTTTTTTTCGTACTACAGTTTGTGACTCTGATGTCGGAAACAACTTTTGAACCCGAGTAATTTAGTATTACTGGTTGGGGCCAAGAGGTTTGGAGGTATGTTGGGTATTGTGGAGGGTGTGTGGGGCATGTTGTGATGAATGGTTAATGGGTTGCGGTGGAGGCTTGAGATGCTGTGAGTTGCGGTTGAAGATTTTGTGGTTGGGTTTGGTGGACTTAATCGGTGAGCAGTCAGGGGTTCGGCATGATAAAAGCTGGGTGTGGATGTCTTTTGGTTTGGGACGCGGAGGTGGGCACATGAGGAGGTAGGAGGGAAGGGTTGGGTGTGCAATGGTTTGAGGATTAGGGCGAGGGGTAGGGTGCACAGGGTCTAAGTGGAACGTGAGGACGGTGAGTGCAGGATTGGGGCCGGAGATACCCGAGGACCTATATAACCTGATTAAGAAGGCTGTGGCGGTGAGGACGCAGTTGGAGAGGAACCGAAAGGACAAGGACTCGAAGTTCCGTCTGATTCTGATCGAGAGTCGTGTGCACAGGGTGGTGCGGTACTACAAGCGAAAGAAGCAGCTTCCAGCCAACTGGAAGTTGTAAGTTCAACTAGTCATCTCGTCCTAGCCAATTGGCGGCTCAGTGATAGTTTGAGGTAGATCAAGCATTAGCAATGGACATGTTCTGATTTGGACAGCGTCGTATGGGCACCCAGAAGAATGACAAAGTGTTTGAGCTCACTGAGTGAAATCTTGTGTTACTCGCAGTCAGGAAGATTGCATGTGTCAATTTTCAATTCAGAAAATTTGACACTCTAAAAGACAAAAGTGTCACAATCCCTCCGCTTACCCGTTCGAAAATCGAAATCCACCAATTCTATTGGATCTGTATCAACTGGATTTAACTGCAATTGCGGTCTGAATTTTTTCATTCCAAGTTGGAGCCTCTTGGTCACCTGGCATGGAGCACCTTTGATTCTCACACAAATCTTCCGACTGTTGTTCAGCTTGTATTCCCCATTAGAAGAAAACAGAATTACATCAAGGAAAACCTGGAATAAATAATTAGAAGTGAAATTTAGTTCGGTAAAGGTCTAGACTTTGTTTGATATTTCGGTTTTTGAGTGACAAGCAGAAAAAAATTGAGATTTGATGAATGATAAAATGACATGACTGTTCGCGTGGCAAGATTATCCAGAAGTATTTTTGTCCTGGAATCAGTTTGAAAGTTCTCTATTTGTAGACTCTTCGATGTAGGAGTCCGGGACAACACAAACCCTCTCAACCCAATGCACATTTTTAGTGCATTCGCATGTACATGAATACTTGCACAAAAAAGACTGGTATCTGAACTGAAACCGTCTCCTTGTGCCCAGGACGAGACGTCAACCCATCCTCAGGGTGCCAACTTTGCACACACACTGGTACCAGTTGTGTACTTGTGTCTGTATTTTTAATTGTTTTTGCGGTGAGTACAATGTGGGACCAGCAGAACGTTCCAAGTCTCCGTGATAGTGGCATAGAGGTGTGAAAGGATGGCGTTCTTCCGGGTGGTCTTCAGCCATCTCTAGAGGACAATCGGTGGTCTTAACCCGTTGAATCAGACAACACAGACACCGCAACCCCGATTATCTGCTTGATGTAACAACACGCCTACTCGAACGCCAAGCTTGTGTCTAACATCCTTCAGTCCCTTCAAACTTCCGTGACCATTGCCCCTTTGCGCTGTGCGTCCATTAACCCTCTCTCATCTCCCTCCGCCATCTTTAGGGTTGATCATTTCCGTGCCGTACCTTTGCTTCCTCAGGTTACCTACTCGTGCTCCCCACCTCCCCTGCATTGCCATGTTTGTGATTCACTGATCTCTCTCACCTTCGGATACTATGCAGCTCGGGGTTCGTAGGTTGGGATTGTCTATTGGGGTTGCTTTTTACTGGTAATTTAAAGTAATTTAAGCGTGAATCTTACTGTGCTTCGGTTCGTCGAAGTGAAGACTATCCGAGGGCCTGAAGGCTGCATTGTCTTGTCTGGTTCTTGAAGGTATTTAGCGCAGCAGAGCGCACAGCTGTTTTATGATAGCAGATTTGAAAGAGCGACGCTGATCGCGTATTAGATCTTGTGGTTCTAGAGCTTTTTTTAGTGGTACTGTCGCGCCTGTACAGAATCTTGGTAGTTTTGCAGCGTCCTTAGCTGCTGATCCAGCTACAAACTTCGTAGCAAGTCAGTCTTTCCCAATGCCATTACTTCGCCAGTCCATTCTTGGGTAACAATTCTTCAACTCGGCGTCTTCGATCAGCTCTATTGGACTAAGTGGGACAGTAACACTTATGGAACAAGTAACGAGGGCCTTGCGACCGTAGAGGAATTCATGCAATTTGAGGTATGTATGCTTCTAATCAGAAGCATGACCGTGTGTTAGAACTAGAAAATGACGATTAAAGTAGGGTAGCTCGTGTATGCATTCTTGCATATGGGCGAACTGCTTATTGAAATGTAAAAATTGTATATTTTAGACAGAGTTGAGATGACACCCATTTAGGAATGACGATGTCCTGCTATTTTTGAAATCTGTCTTTGTGTGGCTATTCTTCATTTTCTCTGGATACACATGACCTTACTTAGGCACACTCTTTAACATAAATAATCCCGTAATAGTGTGCGAATGTATCAGTTTGTTGCACAGAATATTTGTTGATCGCTGGGCATGGAGTGCTTGCCTGCGATACTCCAACTGTATTTTTAGATTTAATACCCTATTTTTTTACATAATCGTGTAATTACTGATTATTCTCTGCGATTTAGTTGAGCTACAAATAGCCAATCTCTCTCACTTGTGCAGTCGAGTGGTGTATCATTGAAACAGGACTTTCATCTTATATTTCGTGATTGCAATGCACTGGATTTCTTTAATCTTTATGCTTTTGTGGTCCAAAGACGCATTCTGGTAGCAAGGGGAAGATACATATTAGTAGTGGTGGCTCTAAATATCAAAGAGTTTCTGACAAAAGCGTGTTCAGATGTTTTATTGACACCTTTGTGTTATCAGTGTAAACAGCTGCATAATGGAGGATTTACAAGCCAGCCAGCAGTTTCTGGCCAAGTTACGATTGAAACGCAACAATGACGCTTCTCCTATTAGACGAGGTCCAACGGAGGAAGCGTGGAATGCAGACGACACTGGTACTCGAAGCACAGATTCTCCTATGTGGAGACGCGTCTCGATGACTTCTAACCGCTCTCAGCCAAACGGGAAGAATGTGCAGAAGACTCGGCAGATCGAGTGGGTCATTCACTTACAGAACGTGGCACAGGGACTTATGACGAAGCTACATAAATTGCACCAAATTTTGGGGCCACCAGAACCTGGCTCTAATATGCAGTATCCTGAATCATTCTGGAAGACTGGAATTATTCCAGATATGCCAAAGCTCTGCCAACATGTCGCACGCAAGTTTCCGGAGCACCCTGCAAAAATTCAGCTCGACAAGGTGGATGACATCCCTTCTGAATTCTTTCCCAGCCAAATACTTGTAGAGTGAAAGTTTATATAGAGCTTTTTGTAAGTCTATAATCCTGGGAAAGTGACTATAACCGCTGAATGCAAGTCAAATATTCTCGTTACATTTTGAGGTAATATTAGGTTTTCAATCTGAATCCAATTTTAGTAATGAATTTTGTTGTCGTTTCCTCAGGTTGACAAAGCTGGAGTCGACTTACTACATGAGCACGCTGGAAGATATGTGGCAACACTTGAGCCGTGGATTATGGTACATTTCCTAATTTAGGCTTTTGATCCATGGAATGATTTACTCAAGTAGCTTTGCCTTGAAGCATTATCACAGCACTTTGCAACCTCTCATTTCATTTTTTGCTCTCATATTTATCGGCATTAGATAATTAAATTGCGTTTCAAGATGAATTTACCTTTGTCTGCAGGTTCTTGAGGACCTTATGACATTTCGTGAACAATCACTCCGTGTAATACTCGACCTGAGCAGTACAGTTGTCACCTTGATGGTAAACCCTCCACTCAATAATAAAATTCTATGTCAATAATGCTCTAAAATCAAAGCTAATGTTTCTGTGTGTAAAAAGCAGTGCTTAGACAAGTAACCTTTCACTTGTTGATAGTACAGAGCTTAACTAGAGTTTTTCAGTCTTACAACAGCTTTTCATATTTTAGTGCTCACTCTTTGGTGCATCTGAACATGCGTCATCAGACGTTTGTCAACCAGTATCAAGGCTAACTAGAATCAGAAAAGCATGCGGTCGAACGTTAAGAGTAAATGCTCCTTTATTTGATACATGGCATATTTGTGCAGCCGAATCAAAATCCTCTTCTTCTGCAAGTGTTCATGGACCTCTTCTGTTGTTTTGTCCGAGTTAATCTCCTAGCTGACAAGGTATTTTTCATTTGCTGTCTTTGTGGGTTCATACGTTTCCACTGTTCTGCAAATAACTGCTGTTGAGGTTTCAAATGATGTGTACCATTGGTTGTATCATGATCGTCGTGGTTATTTACAGGTACCAAGGAAGATGCTTCTACAGATGCACAATCTGGTACATACGATAATGAAAAGCGGAAGAGATTACGGGGCTTACCATCGGTAAGACGGTTGTCTACTCGATGATTTTTTTTTGGTTTCAAGGTGTTTGAAAGTGTTGACTTGAGATTAAATGAAATTTGCTTGTATCCGGATTAAGTCAAATTCTGCGCTCCTAGTTCGAGGTTCTCATAGAACAGAGCGAGAAGGCTGTAGTTTGTATGGTTCTCGTGGAGCTGAGAAAATGATTGCTGAAGGGGTACCATAATACTCGATGAAATGACAACCTCAATTTATGTAGTTGACGGTGAGGATAGTTTCTTTTCTCAAGGTCAGCATTCTAAAAGTTTGAGGCGTGTTTGATCAGCATGGTGCAGTTCGTAGAAGCATACGATCCTCCTCTTAAAGGGCTCCACGATGATTTGAACTTTGTGAGTCCCCGGATAGGTGAGGTATGTGCTTGATCTACAGACTCAGCCTTGAAGCAAGACTTGAGTTTGCATTATTGCTCCAGTTTTCTTCCCGGTATAGTGTAATGAGCCTCTTCTTGCGTATAGTTTTGAGTAAATTCTCTAAAGTTACTACAGTGGCAAGAGTGTTGCAATTGTAAAGAGTGACTGACATTTCTTTGAGAGTTGTCAGATTGGGACACAGTTTGGGCTGATTCATGGATTTGATGTATTCCAGATATTGGATGCTGTAGGCCCAACAGTGTTGCTTGGATCAGATTTTCAAAGGCTGCGCAGTGAAGGTTACCTCAGTCCATTTCATCCTCGCTATCCTGAAAAGCTTACTAATTCGGCACATCCCGCTGTAAGTTTTGAGACCGAAAATGTTGACCATCTGCAATAACCCCTTTTATTTTTCTTTAAGACCTTCGCAAGGTTGTGTTTTCGTTCGCGTGTTGATGTGTAAGTCTAGATAGTAGTAAGCTCAAAAGAAACGTGTAGGTGTATATATAAACCAATATTTGCTCGTGTGCTTACATTTTGTGGGCTTGTCAGAGAGCTCAAGATCTCGTAAATATTGAAGCCTATCGAGAATGGGCACTTATTGGGTATCTAGTTTGCCCCACAGAACTTCTTCGGCCTGGAGCAGTGGATATCGCTTTAGTGAGTCTCTTTTGTATCCTGTTGTTTTCTTCAGTAGCTTATATTTTACTTCAAATATGGGTAACTGGCTGCTTAATGATTTTTTTGGTTCTTTTTCCTCGTTGTAATCCGTATATACTTGTGGTATTTTGATAATGATTCAGGTATTGCTCAAGGAATCCTTACTTCTGCCTCTTTTCCGAGATGAGGTACTTTCCGAATCCTTATTTGAGTATCATCCTTTACATTTACATCTTTCACGACACGCTTTAAGAATCCTTTTCTGCCCCTTTTCCTTTCACAAAGGAATCCGTATATGAAAAGTTAATAACTCCGTTTCATTTATGTAGTCATTTTCAAGAATCAGAGTTTTGTGTGGTCTTACAATAATGGGATGTATAACAATCGATCGTCCTCTCCAAGTGCAGTATGTTCTGTTGCATGAGGAGTATCAGCAATATGTGCTGCCCAGGATAGCTGAGTCCAAAAAGCTTGCTAAGGCAGGGCGTGCTAAGGGTGGTGATGCTGACGTTGAATACAATCTAGCTAAACAGGTCGAGAAGCAAATCTGGTTAGTATGCTGAATAAGGACTAGCTTTTGATAAAAATTGAAAAAAAACTTGTTATTTCCAATGACGTTGAAGAAGAGATCCGTGTGATTTCTGCATCAGCTTCTAAGTAAACTAGCGAAATCCTGATTTTTTACGGCAACTTAGACCCCCACTCTTCATGCAACTTAAACTTTATACATCGCCCTTTTATGGTTGTGCTTTTGAATAGTTGATCATTCGCTTTTTAGTTTTGTGTCAACCTGTCTGAAAGTACCATGGTCTGGTTTGTCATAACAGCGACGCCCAAGATACTGCTATCAACAATGCAGATGTAGCACACAGAGAGCACCGGCTTCTTTTGAAGCAGGAGCTCGGCCGAATGCTTTTGTTTTTTACGGACCAACCCACCCTCCTCGCACCCAATTTGCAGGTTTATTTCTCCTTTACCACATGATTTCTCTATTTTTAAATTTTTATTTTATTTTTTGTTTCGCCTCATGTTTTCGGTCCTTTCGCCTTTCTCTCCATATATCGTATTCATAAGGTGTTGAAGAGTACATATACTCTGTTTAGTAGCCACTAGGATGCTTATTTGATGTATATGACTTTGTTCATTCGTACCGCACTATTCTTGTATGTCCTTGTGAGGCCTTTTTGTGTCTATTTTGATATATCTTGTCAACTTGACTGCAGATGGTGTTTGCTGCTATGGCAATGGTTCGTGCAGAAATTCTATGGTTCTTCAGACACGTTGGAGTCACGGTGGGAAAATCGAAGGGTGCACGAGTGATGCCCATAGAGATGGTGCGAATACTTATTCACTATTCTATCCTCGCTTTTTTAATTTAGCCCTTTTATTACGTGGAGGTTTCTTGAACTGGGCTCTCTCCAGGACATTCCTTCTTTCTGAATTAGCAAAGCCTGATAAATAAGCTTCACGCATTGGTGGGTACAGGACATTACAGATCCTACAATTGGGTTCTTGCTGGATGGCATGGATCGTCTCATCGGTCTTATTCGCAAGCATACTCCAGGTATGTTAGGAGCTCGCAGCTTTCATTTTTAGGGGTTCAATTTGAACTTGAGTCAAAATGCAATTATCTGTTTTCACCCTTCTTAAGTAAGTATTGGTGTGCCATACGATCTTCGTGCGAACTTCCTGACCATTGCTGTTGTTTGCTATTTGCAGCTTGCAAAGCATTTGCAATGGGCTACTTGTCAGCTGCCGTGCAGAGAATGCAAGTTCTTTTGGTTGGGCCAGGAATGGTGGCTCTTGATATAGATCCTGAGTTGCGTGAGCTGTTTAATTCTGCCCTGGAAACTCTGGACCAACTTCGTAAGCTCCAAAATGACAAAGTTGTTTCCACTTCGCTTGATCTCTCAGTAAGTTTGTTCACCCTCTCTTTGGAATCAAAGCATACTGGAACTAGACATTTTGTCTTGGTGGAACTGTAAATTTGTAACGGAGTGCTGAAATGTAACATGTTAAAAGATCGCGGATTGGTCCATCGTTGGTGTGAAAGTGGATGTAGTATGGAAGTCAATCATGGCGATCTTGAGGCTTAGATATTATCAGAGATGTCAAAAGTTTGTATTATCTGTTAAAAATGGTTGAAATTTCCGATTAAACTGCAAGGCTCTATCTGAGGATTGTGTGGAGTTGCTCAGTTGTCTCATATGTTGTATTGTTATTTGACAGACGTTTCGCAGGGACTGGCTGCGTCTGATAATGCTGGTGTCTTCCTCAAGATCTCCAATAAATATTCGGCACCTGGACAAAGCTACTTTATCTGCAGGCAATGATAGCATTGTTTCTGAAGGGAACCTTGCATACATGTGGTCAAGGTGGAACTCTATTTAAATTACATAATTGGATGAAAACTCTTCTGTTTTCACTGTTATTATGCAGCAGTTGGCTAGAACAATGCAAGTCTAGCTGGTCATGATTGCTGAAAATTACCAATTCCTTACTTTTTATTTATTTTCTCATTTATTATTTTTTTGATGCTGAAAATAGTCTATATTTACGTCTTTCAATACTGGAATGTTCCAGGACTGTGGACGAAATGGATAAGCAGATTTTGCAACATGCGTCCCTCAAAGTGCTGTATTTCTACCGACTTGATGTCACAGCGGTGAGGACATTTGCCATCAGGTATCATGCATTATGCCATGATCAATTTGCACTATGTAAATGGATAATATATCTGACTATTGAATTGGGTGCTGCAGGTTTTTCGACATACAATGTTCGGACCTGAAGGTCGACCTCAGCACTGTTGTGCCTGGCTTGCCCTGGCGTGTACATTTCCAGATAATGCCCACCCAAATGTTCCTGATGAGGTTTGTGCTTCTCTCTCTGAAGCCCTGTCGTTGATGTCAAAGGTTTTTCGGGCATTGCTTTAGTGAATCAGATATAATTTCTGATGGCTTCGTATTTTTGTACCCGAATGTGACAGCTGCCAAAATTTGCCCGCGACGCAGTGTCCTATGCAGAGTCCATTCTTGATTCAGTTATGGGTGGCTTAGAGGGTTTAATCAACATCTTAGATTCAGAAGGAGGTTATGGCTCTCTTGACAATAAGGTAAATCTCTTGAAGATATTTACTTGCGTTATTGTGAAGACTGTTGAACTTTAGATGTGGTTGGCCAATTTCACTGTTCCGGCATTTTATTGGTCCATATTCGTAATAAATTCAAGGTGTTGTATGTCGTCATAAGGAGTTGTATTTCACTCTTTAGACAGGGCGTGATTGATATATATATATATATATATATATATATATATATATATATATATATATAATTCTTTTATTGCTGCCTTAACTCTTCTGGAACCGTGCAGCTTCTTTTGGAACAAGCTGCCTTGCGTCTCAACCAACTATCTAGAGCTGGCCTCAGCGGTGTCAAGTCTGCTAATGGGACGATGAATTATCCTTTGCCCGGTTGTGAGAGTGAGCCAGCTCACAGAGATTCTATTAAAATGTAAGTGTTCATGGGAATCGCAAACAGCAGAACGTCGTCTTGTGTAAAGTTTATTGCTGACCATCTGAGAATTCATGGTATGTTAAAGATCTGTTTTGTGTTTGTCCAGGTTGGAAGCAGCCGTTCAGAGACTCATCAGTCTTTGTTCAGTACTGAACGAGATGGAACCCCTGCGGGTTCTTAATCACATGTTTGTACCGCGAGAGGTATTATTTTCTACTAACTTTTGAAGATGATATATCGACTTAATAAGTGTTTGCTTGTGGTTCAGTGCGTACTTGACAGACGTCTTTTGAAATTGTTTGCAATTGAGGCCATCTTTACATCTGTGGCATGATTGCAGTACCTAAGAGACCGAGTTATGAAAAATTTCCGCACGCGGCTAACAAGTATTATCATGGTGGATGGTGAACTTCAACGGCCAACTGTAGTGGAGGCACGGTTGCAGCGGCATATGAGCATAGTGCATCTCGTGGAACAGCATGTGCAATTGGATTTGACACGTGGTATCAGAGAAATTCTCTTAACTGAGTCTTTTGCACGGCCCATGCGAGATCTGCACCCCGACGATCGTGAAGTTGGCGCTGGTGGTGACGCTGTATGTACAATCACGGATTGGACAATCGAGAATCTGTTACGTGATGCGAAAGCCTCTGGAGTTATATTTTCTCCTTTGGATAAGTGTTTCAAGAGCACTAGGCCTATTGGGAGGGTTGCTGCAGATTCAGTGGGAGATTTGGTAGAACTCAAGGCGTTTGTGCGCATCTTTGGTCCATACGGCGTCGATAAGCTATGTGATAACTTGTTGCGGCAGCTGACAGTTCTTGTAGATACCTTCGATACTTTTTTGCGTTCCAACAAGGAGATTCTAGAATCTTTAGCTGGTAACTGGCATAGTAAAAATCATCGTGAGAGTATGCTAAACCAATTAGTTGAGTTGGAAAGTCTTATGGCAAATGCTATACGGCTAGGCCACATGCTTAGCATGCGAGCTCTTCTAGCTGAGGCAACTGCTCAAGTCTTAAGGACCAATACTCCACTACTCTTTTCTCTCTTGACAGACTTTTGCAAGCACGCTCCTGCAACCATTCCTGAGAGACCCAATCTATCGAGACTAAAAAATGTGGCCAGCCGTGTGGGTGCCATTGAACTTGAAGAGGGTGACGCTGTGATGATTCATAGCATTTTGACCAATAGTCGAGGAGCTGGTGATTCATCATGGGGACTTCTGCCATTTCTCTTCGTTGCGTGCATGAACGCAAATGTTTGGAACTCCACCACCTTCAACGTCCTTACTGGCGGTTTTACATCAAATGTTCATTGTCTGTCCAGGTATTCTTTTCGGAACTTTCAGCTTGATATGGGACAACCATCGTGTAGAGCAGTTTATGCTTCTTTGTTGTTAATCTTCGACAATAAAATATTCAAGGTTATTGCCTCGATACTAATGTTATCTTTGATTCAGAGCGGATGCTGACAGAGCAACTCTCTTCAAAAAATAATAAAACATTTTATTGTTTGTTGAGCTACTTTTCGTTTCCCAGTCTTCTTGCATATCCTCCGCATTTGTGATACCTAATATGACAACCTTGGAGAACAGATGCATGAATGCTGTGATGATTGCCAACGAGTGGGTGCGTTCAGAGCGAAAAGATCCAGGAAGTAGAAGTGTGCGTGAAGATGGTTCTCCACTTCAACCTGTAGAAACTCGAGCAGAGGTTGATACAGATGTCAAGGCTTCCATGAAGACTTTCTTACAGTGTGCAGTTGCCACAGTGCTTGAAGCATGGGATGACTCGCACAGGTATTGCTCTTTCTAAAACCTTTCTTCACACATTTCTACCTCTCCACTCATTAATGCTATCACGTGTGCTATAACCAACTTGGGAAGATAAGGTTTGGTTTGTCACATTTAGATTAAACGATGTAAATGATTCTCCCATGTTCGATTGGAAGCTTCTACTGTTAATGCGAAATTCCTGGAAAAGCTTACGAAGGTGCAGACAATCTGGAAGTGTGTAAACATAAAGAGGTTCTCATTTCATTAAACGCATATTTATAATGATTCATATGTGCAACATTATAATGTAGCTATGTATGCATTGTTTACAACATTGTAGCCAGTATTAATGTTATCCTTCCTGATGCGCATTAACGTCTATTGGTTGTTGCTTGCAACACTGCAGGAGTCCCCTGGTTGCAAAATTGATCTTTCTGGATCAGCTTTGTGAACTAACAGCGTATTTACCTCGAAGTACGCTGGAAAGCTACGTACCCCATACAATCATGCGGTCAATCTACCAGATGTACTACGAAAGCTCAGTGCCGAGTCTTGTGCACGTCCATCCTTCCTCACGTCAGTATACAGGCTCAGCTCTAGGCAACGGTGGCCCTATGAAGAGCGAGCAAGCTGGGGAGTTAACAGAGCCGTATCATCCCCCGCAGCAAACCTCTAGAGGCTCCATCTTCTCGGGCCCTATTAAGTTTACTGGACAACACAAGCGGCCCGAGGTTGAGCCCTCTGGTGAGCTGGGAAATGATGGCAAGCCTCGCAGGAAAGCCAATCGCTTCTCAGGTCCCCTGGATTACAGTCGGAAGGTGTCGTTTGCTGAAGGCCGAGTTAACCCTCAGGAACCAAAGTCTCCATCTAGTAAGAGCCCACTTGGTAGGTTCAGGTCAGGACCTCTGTCATATGTATAACACGATGGTCTAGATGCTGGAGTAGAAACTTAAATTTGTGATTTCTAGAGTTGACCACAATTGGGGTTGCAACAGTAGGATTGGATTGGCAGTTGATGTCCACAGGGGCAAGCATGGACTTTGTAAATTAGAAGGATTACTTGAAGCTTTTGGATGAGTTTCAGTGTAGACAGTAACGTATGGGTGATGGATTATGAAGAGTATTCCTGAAGCTATCATGTAATAGGACTACGTAATGACTGAAGTTACTTGTAATAACACTATTGTCGTAACTGCGGACTCTATATATACGCTTAATTTCGACGTTTTGTAGCTCAATGTGGTGGATGACTACTGTAGTTCTACCATCAGCCAGATTTCCAATGATGGATTGTCAATTATGGGTCGTTTAGTTATCAAAAAAAAATCTCTGTATGCAACCTTCACTGTTCTTGTCGTCACTGGAGGCACTGATGCAATTGCTTTCTGCAGTTTGTCGAGTTTCAACATCTAACTACCGTGTTTGGCAAGAGAAAAAAGAAGTCTTGATCACATAAAAGCAGCGCAAGCTTATCTTGTAGAACTGCGTTATGTTGTGCGCTAGGATTATAAATGTTTCTAAAAGTTTCTAAATGTTTACGATTGATCTCTTTGAAATCTTTTTGGCACTGGAGATAAGATCTTTGACAGAGCCCACTTCAGTACAGAATGTAGAGTGTGATGGTCTTAAAATGGTCGTAGTTGCCATTGTAGTATTGGTCCATCAAATGATACAAAAATCCTTATCCTACACCTTACAACAAAATACAAATTTGTAGCGTTTCTGATTTCATTTTCCATTCACTAACGTTTGCCTTCAATATTATGTTTTCTTTGAATCCCAAAATGACTCAAGCCTTTGTGAACTCTCAGCACAAGTTTCTCAACATTCTTGTAATGGTGCAACTGTGTTCTTCCTCCCATGTGAAGGCATTCCGAAGAGTGACTTATATTACACGCAAATCTCTTGGTTTGTTGTACTATCATGTCATTCTGTGTAAATATTTTTTAATTTTTTAATTTTTAGTTTCTCTTTTCTTTTCTCCAAGTATCTTGAAATCAAGTCAATTTTGCATAATCGTGTTAAGTAATCATTTGAATCACTTCACCAGTTGATTCTTCACCTTTTTTTTCCTTTGTCGAAATCTATAGTTCTTCCTTCTACACCCAAGTCTTTAAAATTTTAAGATACTAAAATGAATAAAGAGCTAACACAGTTCTTCTAGAAGGGAGGCGATCTCTCTCTCTCTCTCTCTCTCTCTCTCTCTCGTTATATATATATATATATATATACTTCTTCGTGCACTTTAAAGAGTTATATTAGATGGTACCTTGCTAATTATTCTTTGTGGTTTGTGAAATAGTTTTTTCTTTTTTAGCAAATATGTATATATATATATATATATATATATATTAAAAGTATCTTATTAAAAAGAACATGTCAAGCATTATGTCATGATTTCATGATTTGCATGAAGGTGTGGCATAAGATGTAAAGTAACCATACACATGCTTTAAATTGCAACATTGCTGCATTTGTCATCAACATTAACAAGAGTTTAAATATTTCTTCAACTGATTAATTCATTGATTATTGTAAATCATAATTCAATTACTTCATTATGATTTTTCAACGTATGTTTATTGACTGAGTACCAGTGCCAAGATGTTGATACAGTTTGATATACACTTAAGTTAATTATTTAAACTTTTTGTAAATAATACTTTTTATATTTACAATGTAGAATATTGAATTTGGCCTAAACATTGTGTAATATGCATATTGAGAAATAGGATCAAGGAGAAAATTTATGAAGCATGCTATGATTTGTTCTTTTACATTTCTAAAAGCTATCAACAAATGAAATTGTTATAGAGCCTTTGGAAAACCAAAATATAGATAGACACACTTTAAATACTTAGGCATGAATTTGAGATAGATAATCCACGTTCATAAAATAATAATAATAATAATAATAATAAACAAATGACTAATATTGATCAAAGCATTATCTTTTTGGATTTTCTATATATATACATATATATATATATATATATATATACACACACACACACATATATGTACATGCTTGTTTTTCTGATGATATTTTGTATACTATTTTATGATTTATGTGATTAATTATTTTACTTTATTTCTTATAAAAGTAATAACATGAATACGAGATTTGTTGTTCAATAATCTTTGAAAAAGAAAAATTGAAATATTTTATAGTAGTACATTCCTAATAGTACATTACTGAAATCATCAAAATATTTTTTGAATTAAATATTGGATTGTATCATGCATTATTTAGCTAGTGTGGGGCACACTATCCTTTTATTTTGATTACAAATAACCTTACTTTATTATTATTATTATTATTATTCATTAGTGTGTCGTCCCTTTTTTTGTTTGTTTATTTATTTATTTATAGTGAAATCTTATCGTTGCATAACACTCAAAGTTTCCATTCCAGCCATAAAATCATGCTTTTTGAGTTACAACATGCATTACTTTCCCTTACTTTTATTCCAATTATTTTACTTTCATGCTTTTGTTTCATCCACAACGTCACTTCTTGCTACACAATAAAACCTATAAATACCACTAATATTAACTAATTTATTTTTTAAAACGTCTCAACGAAAGTGAAAAGAAGGAATAAATAAGTAAATAAATTTAATAATAATAAAACGCTGCCCTAACAAACGACACTAAATTCCAAACACCAAACAAGGCAAAGAAGGCTGCACTCCTAGTGCCAGCAAGGCGACTGAGTCCCATGAAGCTCATGGATGAACGTGGGAGAAACGAACAGAGGATATCATCCAGATGACCGGCTGGGACGGTCGCCGATGAAGCCCTAAAACACCCACAATGGAAGCAAACGAGAGAAGGCCCTTCTATTCCCCTTCTCCCTTCTTCGTCTCCCTTCTTCATGTGCTGGGCTGCCCACAAGCTCACAATTCTCCCTTCATCGCTTTACTTTGCCTTGCCCTCGCTCTTCCATAGCCGCCAGGATCCTCGTGAGTGAGTGTGAGTGTGTTGCTGGGTTGGGGTGGTGGTACTTGTTGCTGCAGATTGCTAGTGACGCAGGAGGATCTATCACTACATGGGGATGAGCAGAGGGTGTTACTCTCAGAAGAAAGGGTGGAGTGCTGCGGACAATACTACTACGATGCTGATGTGAGCGCGGAGGTAGACCTACTCCTGAGGGGATTTTGGTGGCGAGGGTTTATTGAGGTTTGCGGTGGGGCGGATAGCGGAAGTATCCGAGGCTTGAGCAGCCATGGCCACGAGGAACTTCTTCGACTTGCTCGGAGACGACGAGAACGAGGACCCGTCGCAGGTTGTGGTGCGAGTGAATCCTGCCGCGCCGGTGGAGACGACGAAGCCGGCCGCGGCCGATAAGAAGAAGCCCGTCGCCGCGGCGAACCTGCCGACTAAGCCCGCTCCTCCTTCCGAGGCTGGTATGTGTCTCTGCCTTCCTCGGAGATGTTGACATTGCGAGGTGTGTGGTATTGGATTGGCTTCAGGATCTGGAAGGGGTTTGGTTTCGGATTCGATCAATGAGAATTGGGATGGTGTCGCGGGCAGTTCTTTTCTTTTCTTTTCTTTTCTTTTCTTTGCTTTTGTGGGAAACTATGTCGTGAAAGGAAGTCTCAAGCAATGATTGGTTGCATTGTATGGAGCTCGAGTGATGTTGGAACCGGGATGCGTTTTTTTTTTTTGTTTTTTTTTTTTTTTGTTTTTGTTTTTTTGGGGGTCAGCCAGCATTGGTAATTGTCGGATATCGTGGTAATTCTTGAGTGGTTTCTAATGGTTTAGTGTTTTTTTTGCAGTGAGAGATGGACGGAGGGGTCAGTATAATGGAGCCAGAGGTGGCCGAGACGGTGGTGTTCGCGGAGGGCGTGGTGGAGGTGGATACAATGGTGACCGGGAAAGCGGTGGCCCCCGTGAGGGAGGAGGTTATAGAGAACGCGGTAACTACAACAATGACCGCAATGTGAGCAAAACTGGCGACGCTGATGGCTTCGTCGGAGGCCGTAGCTCGTTTGATAGACCTGCCCGTACTGAGAATGGTGAGGGACGTCCTTACGAGAACAGTCGCGGCGGAGGTCGCGGCCGGGGCCGTGGTGGTCGCGGATCTGGCGAGGGAGACGATCGTCGCCCCAGGCGCGAGTTTGATCGCCAGAGCGGGAACTCCAGAGGGTGAGCTGCAGCTTCTTGGCCTAGGCTGCTGGAGAATGTGTAGGACTTGCTAGACCTACTGATGAGTTCATTTGTATTGTGGGTGCAATGGTCTACCTGCCCATGTGACACACTGCGAAGTTCGTGTTTTTTTTTTTTTTTTTTTTTTTTTTGTTTTTTAATTAATTTTTTTATATTGAGTATTAGCACCGATCTACTTCCTGTTTCCCATCCCTCGACATTTTCCTTTGTCTCTTTCAACTCTATCTGCATAAGCAGGCCCACCTTAAAAAGGATGCATGAACGGAGGTGCGTGATAGTACATGAATTTACTTTCTCTTACTGAGCGCCCTTCAGATATGAAACCGAGAAGAGAGAAGGTGCTGGTCGCGGTAACTGGGGAACGGACATCGATCCTGCACTCATTCAGTAAGCCATCTTGGGTAAAAACTTATGGAGGTTTGTACTCTGATGGCTTCACCGCTTCTGGAGTTGGTTCAGTCACCTGGGTTACTTATCATGTTTTCGTGGATGCAGAGAGAATGTTGAGGGTACTAAGGAAGAAAACAAGCCAGTTGTTGAAGGAGAAATCAAGGAGAAGCCTGAGCAAGAGTCATCTGTGGATGTTCCCGTTGAAGAAGGCACAACCGTGAAGAATGAAGAGGAAGAAGAGGACAAAGTGAGCTAATTGATTTTATTCGTTTATTTTTTCTTGTAAAGTTTAGATGTATTGTTTGGAGATTGCGTAGGTTAGCACATTGCTGAAAACAGTGGCCATGTACATATGCAGGAGATGACTCTGGAGGAATACGAGAAGGTTATGGAAGAGAAGCGTAAGACCCTGGAAGCTTCTAAGGCCTCCGAGAGGAAGGTCGAAGTCGACAAGGCTTTCGAAAAGATGCAGCTTGTATCCAACAAGAAGCGCGAAGAGGACATTTTCATCAAGCTGGTAGGTTATTTGATTTGTGTACTTGTGCTGCTTCATGCACAGTGTCTTTCTGTTTGCGGCTTATTCTCGAGTATTGATGCCTATCGTGTGTTTGCATGTATGGTTATACAGGGACAGGAAAAGGAGAAGAGCAAAAGGGAGGCTGCTGAAAGAGAGGAGAAGTCTCGAAAGGTATGCAATTATCTTTAGTGTATTACATCTGCATTGAGCTTTTTGAGATGAATAATCGATACTCACTGGGTAGTTCAGAGTGCATAGGGTTAGAATTTGGATACCGTGAGGGCAAGCTGATTCTAACCTTGACATCATCTGTTTTTACAGCCTGTTAGCATCAACCAGTTCCTGAAGCCTGCTGAAGGTGAGAAGTCTTACTTCCCGTCTAACCGCGGCCGTGGAGGACGAGGTGGTCGTGATGATCGCCGTGAGAGCGGAGGTCGTGGAAATCGAGAGTCTACTCGCAGCAATTTTAGCGCCGGGAGGGGCGGTGGTGGTCGTGGTTCAGCTGCTGGAGACGCATCTGCTCCCAAAATCGAAGACCAGGCACAGTTCCCTACACTGGGAGCGAAGTGAGTGGCGCTAGCTTGTGGTCGGGCAAGGCGGCTCGAGGTTTCTGTGCAAGAGTATTTGAGAGGGTCTAGTAATGATGAACTGGTTGGGTTTGTTTAGGGAGCCTGCTCTCGGTGTATCGAAGTGCAGTTTGCCTTATCCTGGTATATCACATTTCTTGTGAACCTCTGATCTACCTATCAACTGTATCTTGATTGGTTCGTTGGTGTGGGTCTATGGCTGTGTGTTTTATCTGTAGATCGAGATTGTGCAACTGGGATGGTTCGATGAATGAAGAGTTTGTTTGTATCTCACTTTACTGAGATGAAGTTCTTAGAAAACATGATACAAAATCATATGGAAAGTTCTGGAAAAATGAATTAAGTCTTTTCTGAAGTTGACACACGTCCCCAACATAATTCTGAACTTAATCAGTACACACGATTATGTAGTGTCAACATATGTAGTATATTACTATATTACAGTGTCCACTGGTCTTGTTCATAGCTACTCCCAGTAGGTCTGTTGGACAGACCGAATGATAATTGCCAATCAAACCTGTCTAATTATTGAGAAAGTGCAAGACAATTAATTTTTATGACTAGTCTCTATAATCATGACCTTCAACACATAAGAGAAGTTTTCAACCACCACGGCAAAAGAAACAGTAACCGGAACCAAATCCCACCTCCACGTAGTGTACCCCACTTACCTCCCAAGGTTGGAAACTGAGCTTGAGCCTCGACCTTGGGAGCAGACGCGACTCCGGGATTTGAACCTCGACCACTGAACTTACCACGGATATAATCTCTATTACCATAGCCTCCACTCTCATGACGATTACCTCGACTACTCCAACCTCCAGGGCTGCGGTTTGATGGTGAATAGAACTTATCACCTTCAGCGGACTTCAGAAACTCGTTGATGCTAACAGGCAACAGTAGCCAAGAGCTGACTAGTGGTTCAAATCGATATTATAAATTATCTTAGACTCGAGAAAAGTGGGCAGTTCATGGCAAACACAATTTCTAAGCAAATGTGTACCCTTGGGGACTTCTCCTTCGCAGCATCCTCTCTCTTTACTTTTTCGCTGTCCTGACCCAGAACATACCTAACGTACAAGCGCCAAGTTTGTGAACCAACCAGGAAACAGAATGAGAAAAAGGAGGATGTTGAGACTTTCAACGAGGAAAATGGCCACCACACTAACCAGCTTGATGAACACTTCATCCTCGCGTTGCTTGTTGTTCACGAGCTGAATCTTTGCGAATTCCTCGTCAGCCACTACCTTTCTCTCAGCTGACTTAGCATCCTTCAGGAACTTGCGCTTCTCCGCCGAGACCTTCTCGTACTCCTCGCAAGGTCATCTCAGCAAGAATGTTTCTAATTAGCAACTCTTGCACCATAATCACTGTTCAACATCTACAACAATCCTATGACTACTGCATTCCATCCATTCACTCTAAAGCTAAACAATAAGACACAGCGCAGCACTAACAAAATCGTAGGCCAACACTCACATTATCCTCATATTTCTCTTACTCGCTTTCAGCAATGCTTCCTACGGTGATGTCAGCAGATATCGTTTGATCTACAATTTTCTCCTCTCCCTCCATTGCAACAGCGGGCTCTTCCCCCTTGACATCCTCAACGGTCTCTCTGTGAAAACAATTTAAACAAAAAATTAGATGCACAAAGCAGCGGTAGTTGCCCGAAGAAGAAAGTCTGTTAGAATCCAAGCAAGGAACGCATATTCAATACAGCACTTACTGGATGAGAGAATGATGAACTTCAGTGCCCCAGTTCCCACGACCAGCACCTGCTCGCTTCTCGGTCTCATTGTTGAAACTCAACCAAAAACAGCATTATCAGTAAGAAACACGACATTCACAATAGAAATGCAGTCCTCCTCACTTAACACATTGCCCAACCAAACCAAACAGCCATGAAACTTCCAGACACTGATTCCTACTACTACACAAAGCCATAACGGTCTCGAGAGGAGCGGACTTGGTTGACAACTTATCAGGCGCAGCAAGATTTCTCTTGGAGTCAGCGGCTGGCTTAACCGTTGCCGGCATAGAATTCACCCCCACCACTAACTGAGGCGGATCCTCATTCTCATCGTCACTGAGAAAGTGGAAGAAATTCTGCTTGGCCATTAGTCGACCCAAGATCGCAATTCTTCTTCTCCTCCACCCTTACGATGCAGCTGGTATTCCTCGAGGAGTAGATTTACCTTCAGCTCACATCAACATTACATCAACCACAGAATTACATCGACACGGGAATTGGGCATCAGATCAAAACAATATGGCCGCCAGAGGGCACGCGCGAATAGGAAAGCTGGTTAGAATGAGAGTGTCAAAGACTAGGTCATCGCCTAGTCCCCAAAATGTACAAATTAGGGATGGACCCTTAATGACGTAGAAATTGACAAGCGTACCTCGGAAGCTGTTTTGGAGTCTGCCGGTTGAAGTCGGTGTCGGATACTTCCGTTCCAATCAACCTCTCAGACGCATCCTGCAACATTTTTCCAGAAGCTACTCTTTCGACGTCGACGCATGGGACAGTTTGGTCAAACGAGCTTTGGCAGTTGTGGAAGATTAGCACGAAATGCAGAATGACATGCAGGTGACGACCAACGGGCATTCCGCATTGCAGTGAGAGTGTCAGGGTCTTTGAGCAGGGTGGGTGTCCGCTGCGCTTCGCCTCATGAGACAAGGATCAGCGTTTTACAGTTGGGTTTGTGGTTTCCCAGGCGTGAAGATGACGCGCAGGGTGGCCCGTTTACGCCGCACACTTCCTTTGTAGTTCAACATATCTACAAAGCGATTGGACAGAGCGTTGGTTTGGTTTTGCGACGTGAGGCAGCAGCTTCCTCAATCCGCAACCAGAGTGTATTATCGCCTCTCTTTTCATGATTTTGACGAGAGCTGTCAATTATCTGGATAAACCACAGACCCGTCGCTTATAACCTCAACTACAGTATTTTAGTAACCACGTCTCCGTCTTGTGAACGTGTGACTTGTCACACCCTGTATAATCTCAATGGTTACTCCTTGCAAGGAGTCGTGTAATAGTGACAGAAGCATGGATTCTGATCCTGAGATACCCATCGCTGCAGTTGTCAACATAGACTAACCTTTCAAAAGTTGCCCGAGTGGAAATCTCCGGAAGTGGTCCATCTGTTAAGGAGGATCCTGATGAGACACCCATACGCAACAAAAACGCTGACATTGCTCTGCTTCCCATTGCAGTTCATTTCGATTAAACAAAATCCACCCACCAAATTCAGCCAACATTAAATCATGCAGCAAATCTTTCATACAACTTGCTCTCATCACCAGAGGCCCACCTCGGCACACTACCCAAATTCTGTATCATGACTCTAGCCCCCATGCCACACCCCTCCCTTGCGAACTAGCCCCTTCTGCAGTTTCAGCAACGACCCACCTGCAAGAGCATCCGACGAGCAGGCCATGGCGACCCAATTCCTGACAGAATCTTAACTATCAAAATCAATAATATACGCAACGCTTTTAAACCGGGCAGGGATACTTCCAGAACACTAGGATTCTAAGTTGCAGCTATCCGCTTCGCATAAACTAGATATATGTCAACTAGTAGACATTAGGCCCACTTGGGCTACGTTATCTTATTAATGATGTCATTGTGTCAAAAACATCAAAGCAGAGACTGAAGGTGAAGCAAGTTAAAGAAATGAGCAGATTTTCACCACAAATCATACAATTATACCGAATGAATGGTCTCCACAGTAAAGCGTGACATGCAGTTCAAAGTACTCTTGAATTAGAATTCTCAACATTCATGCAAACTCTCGAGTAATTACAAAAGAGGTCCATGATTAAATACTAATTTCACAAGCAACAAAATCTCAATATCTAATCGAAATTAAAGAATCCAACCCTACCGGATAATGCTGTCAATATGTTTCTCGAGATTGAAAGGAAGCTTTGCCTACGACGATGAAATCATTGCGGCAGTCACTGAGTGGTTTTAATATGTGACGTTTAAAGTATTGACATAAAAAGCCGAATGTGGAGACATAGAATTGCGTCAACTCGGGCAACGTTACGTAGGCTAGATCTTTTTAAAGGCCCACGGTTTGAATTAACCCAAGAAGTTCATGATAACCAGATGAAGAACAAGATTGCACAAAACAAAATCTGCAAACGCTCTTTCCGGAGAAAGATCCTGCGCGAACAATGTGGGATCGCGTATCAGCAATACTGTATAATCATTGCAACAAGCAAGCGGAAAATTTCTTTTTTTCTTTTTTGTTTCTTAGTTGACAATCATGACATATTACTGAACACAGATAATAAAGAACGCCTTCATACCTTAAATTCCTTGTTTTCTGGATTAACCTGTATCCGTAGACAGACTGCTTCAACAACAGAACCATATTATATATATAAAAAAAAAAAAAACAAAAAACAAAAAACAATGTTGACATAGTTCCAGCAGGCCTCAGTAATTCACGGAAACCAGTGGAACACTCAACTTGACGCAGGCATAAGATCAAGAACTATTGTGGTAGAGAAGATTTCACAACGGAGCACGCACTTCAATACAAACACTTCTCCACATCCTCCACTGCAAAATACAACTGCCTCATGAATCCAACAAGAAGCCTTGACTAGCAGAGCATAAGACACAAAGCAAATGCCTTATTCTGACAAGAGGTTAAGAAATATACCCCCAAGTACAGAAGTGCCAATGCATGACAACACACCAGAAAGAAAAGCGTTAAATGGGAATGTTCCGACCATCGCCATATACACCACCTGCTTCCCAGAACCAACACCACGAAAATTAAACTAAAAAAATGTAGCATTTGCTGTAGAGATGAACAAGATTCACATTGAAGGGGGACATTCTGGACAAACAAACTCTAAAACCAAGGACACAACTTGCCTGTATAAGTGCTGTGATCAGACCGTAGATAACATAAACATCTATGATCTGCAAAATTCCAATTGGAGGATCATCGTCATTAATGTGCGGGAATTTCACTTATTTGAAGAAGGTACTGCAATGGGCTGGTAATCCATATATAAAATTCTTCATGACTGTTAGATATCAAATGTATCAAGTTAATAAGACTGTGATTACAAATTAAGTCTGCGACTTAGAGAACAGCCGTTTCCGGTAAATTCCACAAATAAGCGGCTGTCTACTTGTTCAAAAATCAATGAAAGAATATCAGATGATCGGAGGATGAGCTATCCACCATAAAACAATGTGGATAAACTCTGGAGCATAAACTCACTGCCGCAGCTGGACCCTAGATAAATGTAAACTCTAAAAACTGCTTGTAATAAATCCTATTTCAAATACTGGAGAACCCCATCCGCAAATGGCATGCTTAAAACCCCACAATCACAAGTAAAAGATTCAAAAATATATTTATAAATAAAAAAATATAAAAACTACCACTAAAGCCATTAAATGATCAACCACACGACCGAATAATTGAAATTCACCGAAACTATTTTTTTTGAACCAACTGCAATTTCAACGTAGGATTCCCCAAATGACTGGTAAAATGCGATAGCTCACTGCAAATATAAAATCGCCAAAACTCAAGAAAAACAGAAGGACCGCGATCACTACGATCAAATACTATTTTAAAATATCAAAGTAAAAAAAAAAAACATCATCGATCCAGCTGCAAAGTGAACATCAAACCCACACGAGAAGGAAAACAAAACAAAACAAATAAATTTAATTTAAAATTAAAGTAAACCTTGAGCCTTGTTGGGGTCTTAGAATATGCAGAGCGCATCGCAGAGAAGAGATCCTGCGCATCCTTGGCGGTAGAAGCCATAGCCCCACTGAACTGAACTGAACTGGGCCGATTCAATCGAAGCTCAAACATCCACAAATTTGCAACAAACGAGAGCTTCCGTTCTCGCCGAAACACACACAACTCCACTTCGGAGAATGCCTGGGCTCCGCGGTGAAGAGTTCTCCTTGTATGACCGTGAATAAGGAAGTTTCCGTGAAGCACCTCTCCACGGTATTAAGTGCACAATGTCTTGACCCTTTCTCGAAGTAGCTCTGCGACAACTTTGAAAGTATTTTAAATTCTTTTTCTTTATATTCTTTTTTAGTGTGTTTAATTTTTCAAAAAATGTCCCATTTTATCACATCTTGTATTTTATTTTATTTTATTTTTTTAATCAAAACGAATTATTCTTATTTGATGGCAACATCGATCTCTAAAAGAAGTCATGAGAATATGGCCAATACCATTTTTTGCATTTTTTATATTGGATTTTTATTTTAAATGAATCTTGCAAATAGTTCCTCATTAGATGATAATTGTGAAACTGGGAATCAACCACATCTGCTGAGATATGTAAATATTTACTGAGCAAGAGGAAAGAAAAAGAAAAAGAAATTCCCTTGTACATGTTCTGTTATTTTTCTTTTCTCTTTTCGAAGTCATTTGTATTTTAAAAATTTGAAAGATAATTTATGAACACTACCAAATACGCTTTCATTATTATTTTACTATTTTAATTTATTTTAATTTCATGTAGTTTCTATGAATATTAAAAATTAAGATTTACAATAAGAGTTACATAAAAAAGTACTATATTTTACTAAATTTAACAAACTTTTAAAGAGAAAAAATCATTTGATATTTAATTATTGAATGATTAAAATTTCAGATACTTTTAATTATTCTATAATTAAAAATGCTAGAAATAGATGATGTTTTTATCATTAAAAAAAAATATTTATTTTTTAAAATTGCAATTATGTTGTGCAATTGATCAAGTCTTAAGTGCTCATTTGGAGTAAGAATAAGTCATCTAAGCCTATAATTAATTAACTTGAATCATTTATTGAGATTTTACAATTGCAAAGAATCAAATTACTTGTTGCTTCTAATCTTTTAATTATGTTGGTCAACATAAAAATACTAAATTAAGTGCTATACCTTTTTTTGTAGATATTTTTATAACATCACTTATGTTTTTTTTTTCAAATGTTAAGCTAAAGAAATAGTAAAGATACTCCAGCTTCACAATTATAGTAAAGAAAGTGCTTGTTTTTCTACATGTATCCTCTTATCTCGGTAAATTAAAGACAATTGATATTGTTTCTAATAATTGTGATAATAGAGCTTTGATATATATATATGCTCTACTATATAAATTATAATATCTTAAACATTAGTAATATACTAGTATAATAGTTTTAATAATAAAATAATCATATATAATATTTGAAACTTTGATAATTTTAACAAATGGTTTTTTATTTATTTTAATTATAAATGAAAAAAAGACACCAAAAGTATGAATATGCATGAGAATAATTTAGAATTATACTAAATGTTATTTGTAAAGAACTTAAGAATATGGCAATAAGGATACTTTATTAAATAGTTAACTTCTTGCAATTTATTTTGATTTAATGAATTTTTTTATTTAATATTGTATACACAAATAAATTTATTTTGAAAAATCAATATCCTCAAATATTGTTGAAGATAGAAATGAGATATATAATGTTATAATTAAAGTACTTGTAAGAAATGACTATTGTTGTAAATGCATAGTATACAAAAACTATTCTTTGAAACTAAAAAAATAAGAGTTATTGTGATACACACCTACTATTTGTATCCATTAATATTAATACTACCAAAACTTAAGGCTTATTAAAACAATGTTATAAATTAATAGATGATTCAAAATTGAAACTTGTATGTCATTTCACTACACAAAATAAAAACAAATAATGTCTAATTTATAAATAAATAAAATTTACAAAATTTTCTTGTTTATTGAGAAGTTTTTAATCCAATGGAATCTATGACATTGCAACTTCACATGAACATTTGCACACATAAAAGATAATTATGATATTTTTGTAAATATAAAACTTAATCATATGAAATATTTATATTAATTTGATGAGTTTTTAATATATTTGAAGCATAAATTATTCTCTCTTTTTTTTTTTTTTGTGTATTTTTTGTTTTCAAGTATTTACAGGATTAACTTTACTTCAAATTCTATAATACAACAAGAAATTAACATGTTTCAAATATCATTTTAATTTAATTTTTGGAAAAGATAATAACCACATAGCACTGATTTAGTATAAATCTAGCAACACAAAACTTATACTAAATCAATGAATTACATGGTATTCAATCCAATCCGACCACCCGAACGACATTAGTTCTCTAATTGTGAAGTTATGGAGGCAAAAGACTCAAACACTGCTGCAAATATTTAATTGTTCTTATTGTGTATTATTAGTTGAAAACTTCGAATGTGAAATCGAAGGTTACACTACTTTTGTTCCAAATTTCCAGTGGAGGTTATCTGTCGAGCACGAAGGATCATTCAACCATTCAAGTTTTTTTAATAGAAAGCGAATCATGAAGCATTATTCAATATCAGTCTGAACTCTAACAAAGGTTCCAGCATAACTCAAGAATTGGCTCACAAAACTTTGATCATAGAGACACCGCAATATATTCTAACATTTCCTGTCTAATAACCACTGATGTGAGTGTTCCATATTGCAAAATGATAAATTTCACAAACCTTTTCTCGCATGCGTTTTGTCTTTCAAGACATCAAGCTAGTCTTCACCTCTGAGCAGTAACTTGTCCGACCATTCATTTGCAATCTAACCCGCAGGCGAAAGGAAAAAAATATTTGCGAATCGTTATAAGTAAAATTCTAAGAATAGAAAAGAGCCAAACAACATTACAAGTCCTTCATCCTTTCGAAAAATCACATTCACGCTTAACTTTGTGACTGTATCTTGTGCGCAATCTGCCTCTATTCACTCCTCCAGCATAACTGAGCACCCTTCAAATCTTAGTTTTTTGACCAATCTATACGAAAATTTAATTTCTTCGGAAACATCTCAATAATGTTTCCAGACCAACTTATTGCACTGCGTAGGTGTTCAAGACCTTCGTTGCTTATTTCTGACTTTTTATTTTTGTGTTTTTATTACTTATTCAGCCGAGCACAACTGACTCAAATTATTCCTTGAAGTTACAGCATTGCATGAAGCCTCTAGTCACTGCAATACAGGAATGTATGCAGGCACTGGTGGAATGCACAAATCATTTAAACGATGAGTTGCGATAGGTGCTAATGCTTAGTGTCAATTATGTACCTTCATAACCAAACCAGGATTGATGAAGTAACGTCTACCATATTGAATGCACTCACAATTATCTGAACATCTTTAAGTTGGTCTTATCCATTTGAAAAGCTATGCAATTGGTCTACCTCTGGACCAATACCCAAGCGACCCAGACGACCTATGACGATAAAAGCGAATAGAGGCGATTGTGATAATTCTCGAACAACTATCCTCTATGTTGAGAGTGTTTAGAAAGACACAAGAGTAATAGTAAGTCATACATACACAAGAGTAGTAGAAATTCATACACTTAAGAGGGTTTCTAAGGAGAGAGAGCTTTACACTCAAAAATCTATTGATCTGGTTGTGTCTCGTATACCAGAAGAGAAAAGAAGAGAGGATAAACAGTACTTCTCCACTAGACTCTAAATATTATAGCTATAGTAATTATTGTAGTCTACAGTAAATATTATGGAGAGCATCAACTATATTTAATGATCTCAACACTCCTCCTTGCTTATCATAATATTTACATAATATTTACATAATATAAAATTTGTATAGAATTATGATCTATACTTTTTTGTGATCTTTCAAGATCAACAATTGTTCACTCATTAAAACCTTATCTAAGAAAACCTTATTTTATTTAACAACAAAATCATAGATGAAGGAAAAAGAGTACAACATCATTTTCTTTAATTATTTAAAGAGCTCATTAACTTTCTTATTCAAGAAAAGCAAGTCGCCACATACCAATGCCATAAGTAAGTCGATGATGGTTGCTTAATGGGAGAGCTTTGGTGAAAAGATCAGCAAGATTATTTGTAGATTCAATTTTCTTAATTATAAGTGCTTATTCAGTAATCAAGTCATGAGTATAACTAAAATACTTTGGATTAATATGCTTTGTCCTGTCACCTTTAATGAAACCAACTTACATCTATGCAATACAAACACTATTATCTTCATGCAAGATAGTTGGAAAATCATCATATGAAAATCCACAGGTTGTTTGAATGAATTTATCAATTGATCGCAACCAAATACATTCTCGAGATGCTTCATATAAGACAATAATTTTTGCATGGTTAGATGAAGTTGCAGTTATTGTTTGTTTCACTGATTTCCATGATATTATACCTCCATCTCTTAAAAATACATATCCTGTTTGAGATTTTGTTGTTGCAATATCAGATTTATATCTTGCATCACAATATCCAACTAATTTTGGATCTGCAGATTTTGTGTAGTATAATCCCAAGTCTTCAGTATTTTTTAAATAACGTAATAAATGTTTGATGCCATTCCAATGTTGTAGTGTTGGACGTGCACTATGTCTTGCAAGAACATTAACTGCAAATACAATATTTGGTCTTGTAGATGTAGCTAAATACAATAAAGCTCCATCCGCTGCTAGGTATGAATATTGGTCTCCCAATATTTCCTCTTCCTCCTCACATGGACGGTATGGATCATGACCATCACAACCATGTCCAACCATTAGTGTGGACAATAGATAAGCATCAATCATATTAAATCTTTATAAGATTTGTCTAATATACATTAGTTGGTAGATAAAAATGGTACCATCTGTAAGATGTATAATCTGAAGACTAATGAAGAAAGTTATTTTTCCTAGTATTTTTATCTCAAATTCATATACAAGACGGTTTGTAGCTGTAACACATGCAAATGTAGTGTCCACTAGGTTAAGATCATCAATATATACAGTGATGATCACAAAACTAGTTTTATCTCGTTTGATAAACAAACAAGGGATTAGTGGATCACTCATAAAATTATTTGTA